ACACTCACTCAGTGTGATGGAGGACGACCATCTGCCACTGTAGCTGTTGGTTCTCCTCCAGATCATGCCCAGGTCATGGTGGTGGCCTAGGAACCTCTTGGGGTACAGCTGTGTGGGTGGTGGCTCTTAGAGCCTTGGAAAGAAGGCAGATGCCAGGCTTCCCTGTGCCCACAGTGTGTGCTGGAGGGCACTTTGGGCAGGACTGTGCCCAGCTCTGTTCCTGTGCCAACAACGGGACCTGCAACCCCATCGATGGCTCCTGTCAGTGCTTCCCTGGGTGGATCGGCAAGGACTGCTCACAGGGTAAGTTGTGACCCTGCAACTGTTCCTCTCTCTGTCATGGTGCCTCCACCCACAGGACTGAACTCTTCTGGAGACAAGAACATCTACCCAAGGCCCATTTATTTATTTGCATTATTTCTGTGTGTATGGCGTGTGTCCAAGTGCCACAGCATGTATGTGGAGGTGAGAGGCCAACTCTATAGCATCACTTCTCTTCTTCCACTTTTATATGGGTTCCAGGGATCAAACTCAGGCTCACCAGGTTTGGGTAGTAAGTGCCTTTACCCATTGAGCCATGTCACTGTTCCCCAACCCTGAAAGTCCCATTTAGCGAAACAGTGAACTTGTTGAGTTACTGGTACTGACCATGGATATTGTTACTGCAGATAGTAAAGGCATCAATATTGTCAGTGACATCAATGCTGGGAATCCTAAGAATTCACACTCCATTAGCATCTGTGTGTAGAAGCAGCATAGAGATGGGGAGGAGGGAACAAGGCTGGCATGTTGGAGTTTGTGAGTGACTAACAGCTACCCCTAGAAAAATGGGAGCACCTTGTGGGATGGATTCCCCCTATAATGTCCTGAGCATCCTAAGCCTGAACAGGATGTGACAGTCTGATACGAAGGGGTCCCAGGCCTTGGCCTGTGGAGCTCCCTGTCTGACGTGTAAGACAAAGCCAGTTCCTGTAAGGAGGTCCCAGTTAAATGGTTAGACTTGGGGCAGTTCCGTTCTGGTGGGAGACGCAGGCTCCATCCTTAAACATCACAAGAACCCAAAGAAGAGATGGTCCCTGTCACTTGTGGAAAAGTCAGTATCCCGGGTGGTACTTCACCTCTAACCCTGTCAGTCCCCCTAAAAATGGAGGTGCAGGAGCCCTTGGAGCAAGGCTGCCTAATCACCCATGATTGAGAAGACAAGAATCTGGGCCTCATAGCAGTCCTAGTGGATGAGGCCAAAAGGTGACCTGAGGGATTCTGAGAATAGCGTAGTAAGTCCCAAAGGCCAAGAAAGATGTCCCTCTGGGTCCATCCAGGTGTCCTGGCTCTGACGTGTACTCACCTCCCCTCCCTTCCCTCCTGCTCCTCTCTGCCCTTCCCCCTCTGCATCCCATCCACCCCCACCCCACAGCCTGCCCATCTGGGTTCTGGGGCTCTGCCTGCTTTCATACATGCAGCTGCCACAACGGGGCGAGCTGCAGCGCCGAGGATGGGGCCTGCCACTGCACCCCTGGCTGGACTGGACTCTTCTGCACGCAGCGTAAGCCCTGCCTCCCAGCCTCCTAGCCACTCCCAGTCATATGCTGCGGCCTACTGGTCACTTTGTGAATAGTCTTGGCTTGTAGAGAGGGTGGGAAGAGGCTGGTCCCAGGACCAGTCATACCTCAGGATCATCCAAAGTCGAGGCTATAGGGTACCCCCACAATCAAGATCAGGCCCTTCGGACCATGGGGAAGAAATCTCAGGGTTGTACAACCAAGAGACCAGAGTGTGTCCTCTGCTGCTGAGGCCCTAGTTGCATGGATTACCTTGCCCTCTTTAGACCAAGATTCAGGTGGCTCTGAGGGGCTCACTAGCCTTTATCCCATGCTGTAGAGGAAGCAGCAGACAAGTCTGGTCGCAGCAACATTTCTTCAACTTCCCTGAGCCCACAGCCACTGTGATCTGTGGTCTTGTTGCAGGTTGCCCTGCAGCATTTTTTGGGAAGGATTGTGGGCACATATGCCAGTGTCAGAATGGAGCCAGCTGTGACCACATCACTGGGAAATGCACCTGTCGAACAGGCTTCACCGGGCGCCACTGTGAACAGAGTAAGCAGCCCCAACCCTGTTCCTGGTATTTGGGCTGGGCTTCTGCCTACTGCAAGGGAAACTGCTTCCTTCAACCCCCACCCCCATCCAGGACACCTCAGCTCCTGAACTTTAGACTTTGAGGACAACTTCTGAGAATGACTTAAGGCTAACCCTACACACTCATGGTCACAGTATCTCTCGCCACTTCAGACAGGGCAGGGGTGTGGTAGGCAGGATTTTCTGGTTCTTTAAATGAGTTCAGGAGGGAGAGGCAGGTGAGGCTGCCTACTCCTGTGCCTATGTGCCCTGACTCAGGGTGATACACTCTACCCATCCCCAGCTACCTAAGCACAGCAGGCACTCCAGTTCCAAAGGCTTGGTTGAGAGTGGGATACAATTGTCCTGTTGCCATGTGCTTCCCCACCTGGGATGGGAGGGGCGTGGAGTGTGGCTGTGTCTCACTGTTTACTTGCACTCTGCATATCATATAGGATGTGCCCCCGGAACCTTTGGATATGGGTGTCAGCAGCTATGTGAGTGCATGAACAATGCCACTTGTGACCATGTCACTGGTACTTGTTACTGCAGCCCCGGATTCAAAGGAATCAGGTGTGACCAAGGTAACATACAGGTGGCAGAATGTCTGGACAGGGGTGGAAAGGGCCCAATCATTGGTGGCTTGGGAGTTCTAACCAGACCAGTTGAGGTTTATGACACTACCTTTTATTCATAGTTGGGAGCCTCACCTCACAGCTTCTCCATGCATATCCTCTGGGAGTTCCCCCACGGGCTAGTGCTGGGAAGGCCACCAAGCAGGCTAAACTAGAATGTGCCAGGTTTGACTTCTGCCACTCCCTGCTAGGTGTCTCTGGGCAGGTCATTTCCTTTGCTGGGCATTGTCCTCCACATTCAACTGAGTAGATGTTAACCTTTGTCCAAAGGGCTCAACTGAACTCTGGCTCTACACCTTGGCAACATCCCATGGTACATCTGAGGAGATCAAGGAAGGCCTTGGTGCATGCCTGGCACATATGAGCACTCTGTAAATGGTGGCTTTGTGCATGTAAAATTCTCTTTGTAAAGTTTTGTAGACTTGGGAAGTTATTGTTGGTTCTAGAAGATGGGAGCAGAAAACAGGCTCTCAATTACCCACATCAGACAAACTTCAGCAGTCTGAAGCCATGCAGTTGAGACAAAAATGCAGCATTTTCCTCCCTAGAGTGATGGTCAGCTCTCTCCAGGCAGCTTCGGAGAGCCAGGAAGAGGTCTAGATGCTGCCCAGCTGGAGAAAAGACCCTTACCAGAGCAGTCTCTGAGGGATCTAGCCACACATACAATCAAGAGGTGTCTTGGGGCGGTAACTGGCAGTCACAGAGCTCCCAGCTGTCAAGGCCAGTCTATCATTTGGTGCTTATGACTCCCTGAGGACATTGGGGTTACTGTTCCCATGGACATTTTAATCACATAGCTGGGAATCGGGAAGAATAGCTGAAGCCAGTTTTTCCTGACTAAGTTACTGGTTGGGTGAACTTAGACAAGTTACCTAACCTTGGTGATTACAGTTTATTTTTTTTTCAACTGTGTGGAAAAGGTAAATAATTAGTTCCTTTTTTGTAGGCTTGACACAATGATAAATAACTTTAACTCATGTGTGGACCTGAGTAAATATTCAGTAAGCATTTATTTTCACTTAAATCACACTTAAATCACATTTTCTTCTTGTGACACTGGGACTTGATCTTGCTGGCACTAGAAGAAATGGAGGCACTGTGAGGATTGAGATTAGGCGGGGATGAAGGGGCAAAGCCAGGAAGTATACTGGAATCAGGCCCGTCTCTGGCTCAGGCCTCTCTCTGCCCACAGCTGCCCTCATGATGGATGAACTAAATCCCTACACCAAGATCAGTCCAGCTTTGGGAGCAGAGCGGCACTCAGTGGGTGCTGTCACGGGCATCATCCTCCTGTTGTTCCTGGTTGTGGTGTTGCTGGGCCTGTTTGCCTGGCGACGGAAGCGGCAGAAAGAAAAAGGCCGTGACTTGGCTCCTCGTGTCTCCTACACCCCAGCCATGAGGATGACCAGCACAGACTACTCTCTCTCAGGTCAGGCTATGCCCCAGCATCTCTTCTTCCCCCATACAACCCAGCAGGAGGCATCTATATTCTTGGTTCAATGTGGGTCGTTCGTTATACCTGCAAGGTGGGTAGCTGGGCCCGAGGATAGCAACCCCATAAAGAAAATGGGGGATGGAGAAGTCTGCAGTTCCAGGAGGGTGATGCTTCCTGGAGCTCAAGCTGGGCGCTAACCCCCCACATCCCCACCCTTCTCATCGGGCTCTGAGATGAGATATATAGTAAGTAGCAACTTTTCTAAGCAACCGAGAAGATGCTTCCCTATGTGAAGCCTGAGCACCTACTGACTTTTGCTTTCCCTGGGAGGGCCTCAGGCCATCCCTGAGGAGCATCCCAGAAGTGAAGTAGCAGGGGAAGGGGTGCCTCCCTTAGGAGAGCTCTGCAAGTTTGGGAAGAGCCCTGTGTGCTTAGATATGGCAACTGTGGTAGTCTGAGAAGGATGTATGGAACTGACCAGATCCTTTCTCTCCCCTGAACTGATACCTTGAAGAGAAGGCTTTGTGCTTCATATTTAGCTAACCAGTAGAGGTTCCCTAACACCCTGGTGTTGGTTAGGCCTGCACTATTGAGGAGGTGGTGACCTTCCAATGGCTCATAGCTGATCTAGTCTCCTGTACCTTGTGTTTAAGAGTACCAAGACCACATATGCCATTCCTGCTAAGTGTCGCCTGCTGTGTGCCAGCTCTATGCCAGCAACAGGATAGACAGTTGGCCCCAGTATAGACATTGCTTTCAGAGATCTCTAGGGTCCAGCCAAAGCCAACATCCTCTGATGAAAGCCCAGGCCCATTGAGATTTGGCAGTTTTCTTCAATAATGACAAATGGGCAGGAATGGCTGGTTTTCCCCAGTCCTGAAGAAACTTCAGAAGAGCTAGGGTCAACAAGAATGGAGTTCTCTATGTACTTACTACTAATGTCTGACCATAGGGGGAAGCAAGGGAAAGTCAATCTACCTAAAATAGAAACTCAAAGGCATAAAGCCAGAGTCAGCAGTGAACAGCTTCCAGCTGACCATGATACCCCTATATTAGCAATCCTGGTCTGTGAGCTACACAGAGGGCTGGCATTAGTAAGAAAACATGGCTGGCTCTCCAACTTGCTTTAGAGCTACTAGATGCCAGGTAGCTTAGAGGATGTGGGGGATTTGGCTGTCTTTGCAGGGGACACTCAAAAATGCCCAGCCCCAGCATTAGTTTTGGGGACATCTCAACCAAGGACAGGTGTATGATGGAATATGGCTCCTTGTTCTCTTCCCAGATTTGTCTCAAAGTAGCAGCCATGCCCAGTGCTTTTCCAATGCCAGCTACCACACACTGGCGTGTGGGGGGCCTGCCACCAGCCAGGCCAGCACTCTGGACAGGAACAGCCCCACCAAGGTACTGGCCCCCAGTCCTCACCCACAATCCTCTCCATTTAACACTCCCCTCTGCCCAGGAAGGAACTGCACCCCCACATGGAGGCAGTGTGGAACTTCTACATTAAGAACAATCCTAAGACTCGTGGGACACAAGAACACTCTGAATTATGAAACTGGGAAAGAGTGTTTTATGGAGATAGAAAGCTCTATCCCACGCAACTACATCATGCTGCCCACTCATTGGAACTTACCTGCACCTTGTGTATAGATAACTAGTACCTACCAGAACACAGTAACATCACATGCAACCATCTTTTCCCACACCCGTGTATACCATGTAACCATTTTGGTCATGTGCCAATACATATACTCAATCAAAATGTTTATGTTTACCACAAATTACTACAATATGTTAGCAATATACTCTGAAGTAACTCACTATTCAATTAACTTCTTGATGCCTCTTAAACTTGGGCATACAAGTCATCAATATACACATCAGATGGGAACCCAAATGTTAGCTAGTGTTCTTGCTGATAGGGGGTGGACCAGTGGTATGCTCTCCCCGACAGTTCCAAGTCACAGAATGGATAGGTGTCTTTAGTCACAAATATTCCAAACCTCAGATTATATGTGTGTATGTGTGTGTGTGTGTGTGTGTGTGTGTGTGTGTGTGTGTGTGTAGACAGATAGACAGCATGTAATACATCCCTTGATGGACCAGTAAGAGGCAGTGTGAGAGGCTGAGACATGCACAGCCCCAAGGATAAGATTTGTGAGGGGCTCTTGCTATACACACCTCCTGACACCTACCAAACACATACATACACTCAGAATGACGGGACCATTTGGGGAGTGACAATCCTGGAATACCTGGCTTCCTGTACAATCATCTATTCTGGGCCAGGGGCACAACTTTCATATTTTAGGCCTCTTCCCTGGAGCTCTGAGAATCCCTTCCTCCCCATCTGTCTGCTGAAGAATGACCACCAGCCCACAGACCTGGGGGTTGCTTTTCTATGAAACAGGCAAGTTGTATGCAGGTTACTTAGAGGCCCAGTAGCTTTGGCGACTCTGCCTGTCATCTTCCAACAAGGCTCTCGTGTGCAGGCTCAGTTCAGATTTTAGCTTGGGGAGCTGAGATAAGAGAATTTGGTTACCCATCAGGCAGCCCTTGATCAACTCCAGCCATGTTATCAAAGCTGCAGCAGGCTAGAGGCACAAGCCAGGGATGGGACAGAGGTTCCAGGCCACATTTGTGCAAGAGCCAGCTACTCTTTCAGTAGAGGACTGATTTGGCTCCCATCACAGGGCTGAGACTGGCCCTGTGTAGACAAGAACCCCTCCTGGGAGATAGAACACCTGGAGCAAAGGTAGGCATGATGTCGTGGAGGGGACAGGCAACTGAGACCTGAATTCTAGAGCCAGCTTCACCTTTGGCTTCTGTGGATCTGAGTATGGTCCCATGTCTGAAATAACATCCTTTCCTCACATAAAGGGCTGCTAAGAGAATGTAGGGAGAGGACTGCATCAGTCTCATGACTGGGACTTCCTCTTTGTCACATCAGACTCTCATATATGGCCCAGGAGCAAGAACTGCAGGCAGCCCCTACCTCTGTGCTGGGGATGCCCTGTGACAGAGTGTCTTCCCCCCGCCACACACACACACCTGCCCCGCAGCATAATTCCATATGCCACAGGGGCCTAAGAACTTGGTTTGGGCATATGCTGTTTTCATTGGCCTCAACTACAGTATGGTAGCTTGTCATATAACATTTGTCTGGTCCTCCTTTACTCAGTCATCCAGGGTCTGGGAGCTCAGGAGCATCTTAGAGATGGGTACACTGAGGCTGGGCCAAGTGCCAACTTGGGGAAGGGCAGCTGAGACGTGAGGTATTAACTGGCTCTCCTCTTCAAACAGCTCAGTAACAAGTCCCTTGACAGAGACACAACAGGCTGGACCCCCTACAGCTATGTGAACGTGTTAGGTCAGTAGTGGTTTGAGTCATCTTCCCCATCAGTCCCACCCTGATCTCTGTACTGAGGGGAGCTGCCCCACCACAAAGCAAGAGAGTTGAGTCCTGAGCATGGCTTTCCTTGTGGTGTACAGGGAGTGCATGGTTGTAGCCCACTGACTACCAGGGATGGAATGTAGAGATTTCCAGGTGGAAGCAGAAAGTGTATTTGCCATAGGCGGAAAAGGATCCTCTGCCTGGTACTTTTCAAGGCCTCTTCCCTCTGCCCCAGTGGAGGGTGGAATGGAATGGGAGGGGAAGAGAGGAGGACAGATAACCCCAGTCCCTTTGGATGCTACATGGAGATCTTGATTCCTTCTGGCCTGCCCCTTGCCCTACCCTGTGCTTCTCACCCCCTTCCCCTGCCATCCAGGCCCTGGGAATAATGGCTCCTCCCTGTCATTCCTCTCACTAGACTCCCATTTCCAGATCAGTGCCCTGGAGGCCAGGTACCCGCCCGAGGACTTCTACATTGAACTTAGACACCTCAGCCGCCACAATGAGCCACACTCATCAGGTCAGACCCCCCAGCCTTTCCTTCCACCCCATAGCAGACTGCCCTACACCCTGTCCCTGTTTCCATGGAGCCTTCCCGTGATTAGTCTATAGCCCCTTAAGCCCTACCCAAAGGCGGCAGTTTGTCCCAGTCCTTCCTACTACCCTGTTCATCCTCACCATGCTAGCTGATGTGGGCAAATTGGGATTGCTTATGGAGGCAACACAGCCTAGTTATACTCTCTGTTCTGCAACATGCGACCCAATAATGGTGTAGATAACAGAACATTGGCTCTCTGGACAAAAAGTTCAATGATCCCCAGAAAGGCCCCAGACCTAACAGTGGCTCAAACTGTATCTTCTTAGAAAATGATGTAGGGTTGTTGAGAAGAGACTGGGAGAAGGTAGGCAGATCTACCACTAAGTATCCTCTGGACTCAAACACTGAGCTCAAAGGTGGTGGCCTGAGAGGGGTGTGAAAAAGACACTTGGCAAGTGAGTCCTGAAAGGAAGAACATGTCCATCAGTTACAAAAATGAATGTCAAAAGAGTACAAAGAATGGACACGGAATGTGGTCCCCCTACAAAGTAGCTCTTCTAGGGCACCTTAGGGCAGGGCCTCAGAATGCTAGCCAACTCTAGGTTTGAATTTGGGCTCTAGGTGACTCTTAATGCTTCACTGAAACTAAGTCAACTTCCTCAGGTCTGTAGTCCAGGAAGGATGAAAGTTTGGAATTCAAGTTGTTGAGTAAGCATGGTTGCAAGGACCCTGCTGGCTGTAGGTCAACTATGGCTAAGCTGCCCTCACTTCACTTGAGGTCATTGTGATCCAAATAGGAGCCTGGGAGCACCTGGGCCTCATCAGGACTCAGCCCTAGTTCCTCCCTGATCCACAGACCTTCAATCACTGTAGCCAGAGCACCTCACACTAGTCTTTGTTAGCTCACAGCCAGCTAACTGTGGCTACTGGGAGAGAATACCTGAGGCTCTACCACAACTCAACTTTGTATTTGCTTGAACGTCTCTGATATTCTTTGGACAGCTGTTTCTTAAAGAGGGGGGCTAACACTGTAGCCACCCCCATTTCTTCAAGGAGAGCAAAGGAAATCCTTGACTATTAAAATGTGTTAAACTAGGTAAACACGGCCTGCTACAGGTTTTTAAGGGTATGGGTTTCTTTGGCACTTTTAGAATAGCTTGCTTCTCCCATACCATTTAGGAAGGTGTAAAAGGTGGGCACACAGGCATAATCTGCAAATTCAACTTGGGAACTTAATGTGGAGGAGGGATCCTAGTATCAGTGGGTTTGTCTTTGGTGTCACAAATGTGGGCAAGTTCGGTGGAGTTAGACTATTTTAGTATTTGCCAACTACCTTACCTGGTACTGTTTTAATTAAAGACCAAGATGTATCTGGTTTAAGACCACATATTGCTCTTGGTTCCCAGCACCCATATCAGACAGTTCACAACCACCTGAAACTCCAGCTCCAGGTGATCCAATACCTCTGGCATCTGCGGGCACCTACACTCATGTGTACTCAGACTATATATGTGTATGTCTATAAAAATAGAAATCAATCTAAAACAAAGGACAAAACCCAAAAAACAAAACTCCCAAAGACAAAACAAAACACTAGGGTGGGTAGGGTAACTGTAAGTTAGTCATTCCTGTCCCAGCTTGGAAAGGCCAGACTTGGTTCCACCCCTGGGGTCACTTATAGCAATCCATTCAAGTTTCTGTCCTGCCTGCGGCTAGGGCTCCGGACCATGCATTCTGGGAACTTTTTTTAAAAAAAAAAAAAAAAAAAAGGAAAAAAAAAGTCCTGAAGGCTGAAAAACACTGGCAACATTTTCAGGAACAAAGCTCTACTTCCCCACGCGCTTCAAAATGAGTGAGCGAGCAAGCTGGCTGTGGCTGGGAATGACTGTTCTTCCTGGAAAGTAAACTAATTAAGTAACCCAGCTACTTGTCTATTTCTCCCTGGCCCCCATCAGAGCAAAGAGGTGGGAAACCCTGTCTCCAACTCCATTCTAAAACCAAGGAAAAGGAGAATCAGAATTCTCTGTATCTGGAACCCTCCAGCTAAGGACTGGTGTAGCTTCATTCCTTACCCTGTGCCTCTAGAGCCTGGCACTTCACCTACAGAGATCAAAGGTGGCATCCTGAAAGGCAGGTGCAGACTAAAAGGAAAGCAAAAAAAAAAAAAAAAAAAGGTGTTGCAGCCCATCTGATGTGATGACCCCTTTAAGAATCCCTCTGTGTTCACAACTATTTAGAATAGATTAAATCCAGAATAATTTGCTAGGAGTAAACTATTTTCTGGGTAAAAGAAGAAAAAGGCAAGGGGAGGAGGAAGCCACCAGCTGTCTAAGAAAACCTCACCCTGTATTTTCTTTCCTTCTGTTTCTATGCAGGCACTTGTGGAATGGATAGACGTCAGAACACATACATTATGGACAAAGGCTTCAAAGGTAGAGTATCTAATCCTGATGTCCTGTTACCGATCTGAAACGGCAAGGAATACTGCCTGAGAGAAAACTGTAGACCCTTATGCCCCTTAAAAAAAAAAAAAAAACAAAAAAGCTAAAAAGATCACAGGACCAGAGTCACTGGGTGGCTCTGCCCAGGAGGAGCAACCCTAATAATAATGAATTCATCTTTCCAGTGCAATTGCACCTGCTCAGCAAACACTTGTGGGTTTGTTATAGATGCCAACTAAATGTCTTCGGAAATGTAGACTGTCATTATCCAACCAATTAGTACAAGCTAAATTGATTATAAATCTGAAATAAAGTCAATCTAGCTGCCCCAGAGGCCTTCTGTTGTACTGGCAAGGACCACCACCCTGCACCTGCCACCTTTCTGGGGCACAAGGAATATAAATGATGCCCAGTGTTAACAGCCCCTACCCTCGGGAGATCTCTGCGAACAAAAGCAGGGAAGCCAAGACAGACCCCTATGCCACAAGAACTACATACAAGGTGGACCATCTCTCTAGGAAGTCTACAGGTGAAGCCAAAAATCAAAGATCAAGTCCAGCCCCACCCCCCACCACCACCACATTAGGTCCTAGGTTTAAATGCTGGAACATGTGAGCTAGGCAGCGTGCCTTGAAACTCTGTCACTTATTAACCATGTGTTTCCTAAGGTTGTTTCTTCATCTGCAAGGTTGGGATATTTATGCCTGATCTGTTGACTCATGCCTGTCTTATTATCTAACAAGGTTATCTTGGGTGTCCAATAAAATCGATGGGAAGTGCTTTTGTATATTATAAAAGTGGTACCAACATGATGTCTCTGGGGAATGTCTCAGTCAAACTGAAAGAACAGTAACAGAAGTCAGCGAGGATCCCACTGATATTCTACATCTACCTCTGCACCAGAATCACCTCACAAATGTTCATATTTCAGTAGATGGAGAGGGGGTCCCTGCACTCTGCAATTGAGAGGAGTATCTGAGGCTATCCTTATGTAATTTATTATCCAACTATATTTGTCTAAACTGCCCTAGATTTCACAGGTTCTGAACCTTCAAACCTAGCATGGACATCTCCTAATCAAGGAGAAAGGAGAGCAACTTGTGTACAACTCTTGGGAAGCTGGCTATCAGAAGTAAATGAGCAAAACTCAGGAGGTGGTGTGTTCTGCAAGAAAGAGAACAGCAGGGCTAACCATTTAGGATATGCAAAGCCCAGGAGACCTGTTTGAGGAGGGGGAGCCCAAGTTCCAAGCCAGCCTATAGGCAGCATTACCCTTGGAGTTTGATTATGGCAAGTTTCTGAGGATTCTGGCTTAAACCATCCAAATGGAGGCAAACGCCATTTCGGGATATAAGGATGCCAACAGAAGAGTCATAATACCACTTGTTCACCATGACCCAAAATCTGTTTCTCAATGTGGAATGGGAACTAGAGGGCTCTCCCAGGGCTTCTAAGGCTCTGAGAAGCTGCATGACTCATGGAGAAAAGCTCATCCAGGCCTTCACTATACACCTTGCCACCCTGTGCATGGTGATTAGGGTAACTACTTTTAAATTCAAAACCATAAATGTAAAACAAAGTCAATGAAAGCCAGTCTCTACCTGGGCATCATTGCATTCCTGTCTCCTGGCGTCATCTGAGTGCATAGGAGGCTCTCTCAGGCAAGCAGCCAGACTGTTTCACAACTGGCTCTAATCAGCCTTCCGAGAGAGGGAGAGGGAGAGAGGGAGGGGGGGGGAGAGAGAGAGAGAGAGAGAGCGCGCGCGAGAGCGAGCTGTGTAGGCAAATGTACCATGTTGGCCCCCAACATGTACAACAGAGTTCAAGAAGCCAGTGAAATATCTGTGTAGAACTTAAATATCAGTGTAACAAAATGCTACAAAACTCATGGAACAAATCCTACCTACTGGCTAAATGCCCCCAAACATCCATGACCAGCTACTTCCTGTCACTTATTTAAACTATTTCCTAAAGCAATAGTGGCGAGCCAAACCCACAGGACTAATTAAGAGTCTAGAGGTTCTCTAAACTTGGTGTGTGTGTTTGTGTGGCAGGGGGTGGGTGCCAGAGAAAGAAAAGATTTGGGTTCCACTTCAGTTGTATGGTGCTCACTAGACACAGCAGTCCATGTGGGTCTTGGCCTTTTTAAAAGGACAGCTGTAATAGCACCACTGCTAAGGCCTCCCAACTCTGACATTTTAACAGTCCTAATTCGGGTAACATCTACCTTTTTCTCTAACTGGGAACTCCACTCCCTGTCACCCTGGGAGATTGAGGGAGACTGCTTACACAGCTAAGCACTTGTCTCACCTTTTTCTGCAGCATAATGACTATACAATAAACTGTCACATGTCTAATTCCTTGTCTGTCATGCATTCAAAGTCTGACAGAAAAAAAAAATCCACTTCTCTCTACCTTCTGTCTACCTTCTGTCTGGGAATTCTCGACTACCATTCCCACAACCTGTGCTCCCTTGCCACCCACTCCTTCAAGTAACTTTGGGTTCTCAGACAGAAGCCCACTGAACTCCTGACAACTCTTCTGGTTGGCCAGTGTTTTCTGGATCTTAAACACCACTCTACCCTGAATCCCCACTCCACCCTTCCCCATATCCTATCTCTTACAGAAGTGAAGAACTTAACCCCAGGAACAGAAGCAGCAGTGTGACTTCCTTTTGTTAGGAGTAGCTCAGAGGTGATCTACAGATACTTAGTGCCTGAGTGTCTACATACATTTGAGTAACTTGGGCCTTCAATGGATATCAGGCCTTAACAGATTCAGAACATATTCACAGAGCAACTTTGAGAAGTTGTTTCCTCTTTATACTTGTGCTTCCTCAAAAAATGAAGATGTTCATTCCAGAAACCCATCTTGACTGTGATAATATGCATGACTGCACATGGTCCAGAGGAAACAAGGAGAGTAAATGTCAGGGTACTTGGAAGACTGCATGCTTCCTCTTTCTTTGCACAGTGCCCTGACAAGCAGGCAGTGGGGTGGGAGTAGAGCTGAAGGGATGAGGAAGTATCCTAGCCCAGCTGGTTACTCTTCCCCACACCCTGCCATCACAGCAGGCAGGTGGATGACTCAACAAGAGAAAGGCTTGGCTTCCTGAGTTTTCTAGCTTGCCTTACCCTTACCCGATCTCCTCCAGTTCCCAGAAGAGATGAGATAACTCAGCACCCTCCCCAACCATCACTCTTCATGGATTTCTCCATCCTGTCTTGGCCTGCAAACCTTGTATAGAAGAACCTAACCCCCTTCTTCCCTCCCCCAGCTCCAATTTAGCTCAGGAGAAGGAATATACTGAAATGGATAAAAGCTAGCATTTTCTTCATCAAACATTGGGAGCAACCCACTGTTTCACTTTCTGTGAACATACAGCTGAGTGAGGTTCTAAGGCTCTCCCACTACTCTATCTTAGCCACTCAGTCACTAAGCTTCAAGCTTAGCCTTTCCTCTCAGGAGGCCTTGGTATGTCCAGGAAGGATAAACTGAAGCAGTTGTGAAGACCTTGCACTCCAGGTAACTAGATATGCTGATGGAAAAAACATCTTGTCAGATAAGACAGTGGGAGTCCTAAGCACTAAGTATTAGACTAACAAACTTTGAGCTTTGGTTTCCTCATTTCTAAATAGTAATAACAGTCTCTTTCAGCCCCGCCTCTCACCAAGTTTCTTTCTGTTTGGTTTGAGACAAGGTCTCACTATAAAGCCCTGGGTGCCTGGAACTTGATGTGTGAACCAGGCTAGGGTTAAACTCAGATCTGCTAGCTTTTTCCTCCCAAATGCTAGGATTACAGAGGTGTCAAATCACACTCAGTTTCAAAACCTAACTGGAATGAAGGTCACTCTTCAACTGCTACATAAAATAAGCTAAGCTATCCCTCAATTCCACATAATACGCAACCAAGACAGTGGTGATAGGTAATGAACAGCTTTCAACAAGAATTCCCGAGCCTCTTTCCCTGCTTGAGTTCAGACCAACCCTACTGAGCTGACTCAGAGGTTCTCAGGCTTACTCCACTCCCCTGTACTAAGAAAGTACTGAGAGGCAAACTAAGATGATAGCTTGAGGCAAGTCACAGTCTAGGACCCAGGCTGCCGTTCTCCACGTGGGTAGGCTTCCACCAGCAGAAGTACCTATTTACCTACCTTTCAGTCCTAGCTAGAACTGCCGAGATTGCTCATTGTCTAGCAAGAATGTTTTTCCTCCTAGAGTCAGGTGCTACCAAGGTCAGTCTTAGACCAACTGGACTAAAGCCAACTTTCCTCCCAACTTATGAGCGAAGTGTTTTGAACTTCCACTGTACTGAGAGACAGTGGGACCCTGAGTTTACTTCCTCACTCCCAGTCTCAACTTCTTCACAAGCCCTGAGGCAGGGGGAGGGACTTAGTTACCAGCTCTACTGTGTCCCAGCTTTGTGAATACACTTCTACACAAAACCAAGGAAATGCTGCCTGCTAAAACAAGAGCTGCCAACATTCAGAGTAAACCCCTCCGCACCAGACCTGCTGTATACCAGACCATTCATGGTGGTGCCCATCTCAGTTACTTCAGCCACTTGCACATCCAGTTCCCCCTGAGACACAGCTTTTGCTTTTTAACAGTTTCAGTAAAATCACAGCTGGGGACAGGGAGCTTAAATAGCAGTTCCAAATGGAAACGGTGGTGGTCCCAGTAAGAAGACTCCCAGAAATTTCACCAGCTGACTTCCACAGACATTTAGAGGTGAGAAGCCTCTTAGGTTACTCTTGACTGTCAAGCTTTGGCCACTCAAGGTTATTTCCAGACACCTTGCCTGCCAGTGCCTCACAGAAACAAGGGTGACAACCGTTAGACTAGTTTACTGAGCACAGACAGAGCATCACCCCAAAGGGAAGGAAAGTAGGAGTGGAAGTTTTTCTCTGTGACTCTAAGTCACTAAGGGATCTTCTTCCTCCAGGAGAGCTACAGTCACTTCACCCCATTTTTATTAGATGTCATTCTGCACCCTCGTGCAGCTGAGGTCTAATGATGGAGCAGGATATGACTGAAACAAGCTCCAGTTAACATTCTCAAGGACCAGGAAGTTGAACCTAGACTATACTTTGAGTGTGCTAAGACACAGGTACCCTCTCAAAGGCTAGCTTGAAACTGAGGGCTTTTTATACCTGTCACACCTCAGTTATCCCACTCTAAGGATGAGCTCCTGAAAGACCAGGATGCCACTATTTGCTGAAGGCAGCTAAACTGTTGACATCCACACTGAAACACATAAACGCTGCGACTACTCCTGTGCTTCTGAATCCAAGTTTCTAGTCATTATCACAGAAAACATGGGGCCAAGAAATCTTAGAGCACAGATTAGGTCTTGACTCTGCAGTGCTATTTACTAGCTCGTGACCCTGGCCAAGTTGACTGTATCTCTCTGGGCTTCCACCCTGTAATATACCAGCTGGCATTTGTATAAACTAAATGATACATGTAAATAAATACTGTGACTAACATTTTTCTGTGGGAAAATAATGCCTAACTGAGAAAGCATACCTTAACACACTGAATAAGATGTAATCTTCCACCGGGTGGTGGTGGCACACGCCTTTAATCCCAGCACTTGAGAGGTAGGAGTAGGGGGTCTCTGAATTCAAAGCCAGCCTGGTCTACAAGAGCTAGTTCCAGGACAGCCAGACTGTTACAAAGAGAAACCCTGTCTTGGGAAAAAAAAGTAATAATCTTCCAATATCATAGTCTGTCCCAGCCCCAGGCACACAAACTTGACTGCAGTCTGTTTCTGGTATTTAAATGAATCCTTATGTCCTTGTTTCTCCTAAGAAATCTCTCTTGCCTTGCAGATTACATGAAAGAATCTGCGTGCAGTTCTAGCACTTGTTCCTTGAACAGCAGTGAAAACCCTTACGCTACAATTAAGGATCCACCCATCCTCACCTGCAAGCTTCCAGAAAGCAGCTATGTAGAAATGAAGTCACCTGTGCACATGGGGTCTCCGTACACAGATGTGCCATCCTTGTCGACATCTAATAAAAATATATATGAAGTTGGTAGGTGTCTCACATAAGTAACTTAGCAAAACCAGGGCAACAGTGCAGCATCTCAAGTGAAAACTAACTCTCCTCCACTCACTCTCTCCACAACACACCCTTCTGTTTGGCTGCATTTGAAGGAACCCAAGGAGAAATTCCATCCCAGAACTGCCCTCTCCTCTAATGCAGGAAAACAAAGTCTTTTGCCACTCTGCTTACAAATTACAACTGATAAGCAGTAGAAATAGCAAGGTTGGGGAACCAGTATACAACACTTCAACTGATTGTTGGTGCAAATCCAAGTTTGAAAAAGAAAACCATCAGAACTGCTGTTTACAAGTTTCCAAATCACTTACACCTCCCCTATTCAACTGTGATCCTAGAGGTATTCATAAGACCCACACCTCTAGGATGTCCTAAATCTCTTGTTGAACAGAGGCAGGGATTCTGACCCTTGGGTTTTCTATCTCTAGAGAAAGCCTGTCCTAATCATCATGCATTTATCAGATTTATACATCCATAGTTCCTCTCCCCAACAAGTTAAATAGAACTTTCAGATCTCCCACCAAGGCAACAAAGCTAATCTGTTCTCTGAACTCATTTTTCACTATATTCCTTAGAGCCCACAGTCAGTGTGGTCCAAGAAGGCCGAGGTCATAACTCCAGCTATATCCAGAATCCATACGACCTACCTAGGAACAGCCATATTCCTGGTCATTATGACCTCCTCCCAGTAAGACAGAGCCCTGCCCATGGGCCCTCCCAGGACAAGCAGTAAGAGGGATAAACTTCTCTCTTAAGTGTGCTCTGCTGACTATTCTGACTCTGAAAGAAGAAATTCTGTGACTTGAAATATCAGTACAGACTGATCTGGATTGAAAGAAGCACTTCCAAATGGGATTGGGGTAACTGTTCAAGGAGTCTGTTCACAAAGGCAAATCATATCACCTTCAGCCCTAAGTGCCCTAGATATGATTTTTAAAACATTTAAGATATCGCTACTCATCAACATCAGCTAAATTCAGATAAAAGATATGCATTTAATATTATGAAACAACGTTTACAATGCATGTGGCTTAGGTTTTGCAAACTTTCCTAGGAGAAGAAGGGGACTGGAGAATGGAGGGGGCACTTTAGAACACTTGAAACGTGTATGTGCTGTTGATTATTGTTACTATCAACATCTGCTTCAGTATCGAAGGGAACTGGTGCGTGGATATGAACTGTTCTAATATTATTAGTAAAATCTGTGTACATATAGATATGGTCCATCAAAGTATAACAGCCATAATCAGAGTTTAAAATATAGCATACTTCTGACAACTTGCATTTTCAAAAACAAGAATTTAATAAAGACAGAGTCACTTTCTTCTGTCCTATCAGTGATAGGAGACAAAACAGAAGGGGGGGGGGTAAGAGTAATTATTTCAAAAGCACAGCAGTTTCATTCAGTCTAGAATGGTTTCTATGCCTGCTTTACCAAATCTTGTCAAGAATAATGAAGGCCAGTCCTGGCCTGGCTGCACTGCATTAATACGCCTAACATCTGAGTCATTCTGTGTGTACCAGAGAACTAAGCTGCTACTTTAAGATAGTAGTCACAGGACTGGAAATGTAGCCCTGAAGAAGAACGCTTGGTGGTGAGTGGGGCCCTGGGGTAGATCACCAGCATCATAGAAAAGGTGTAGGCTGATAAGAATTAAGTTTCCCTAGAAACCATCCAAATGGCTCATTCAATTTAGTTGGAGTCCCTTGACTTGTTTTCAAGCAGTTCTTCATAGATGGCACTTGATGTAGCGTGGAACCTAAAAGTGTAGAAGAAATTATACAAATGTGGGCATGGCAAGCTTAAGTTGCTTAACATACATTATGCTTTTTGATGGAACTAAATGAAATAAATGTAAAAAAAAGATTTTAAAAGCCCATCACCTACTGAAATGGGCAAATATGTATTCCATTAGTTGGTGCTTTAAACCTCTATTCAGATAAGTCTTAACTTCCTCTGCACGGTGTAATAGCAGGTAAACCGAAGCATGGACAATTCTGAATGTGGCTAATTCCCAATTCTTATAGGACCCCTTCATAAGAATTAAGAACAAAAAGGACAAACTGGAAGTTAATGACCACCCTTGTGCCACCCCAAGTTCTTAAAGAGGAATAAGGGTCTAGCCAGTGAAAATTACCTAAACAGGGTTTACAGAAAGAAAACTGCAAAGCTGGATACTGCTACAGGAAGTGGGGTTGATACTAACTAGAAGAAGACTTGTAGAACCCCTTAGTTTGCGTAAGAATCAGCAAAAGCAAGAAAATATATAAGCAAATCTCCCTCCTCACTTCACTCAAGGCATACGCCAATCTTAGCAATAGAGGAACATAAACACGAATGCTGCATGTGTGCATGGAAGCGAGTGATCAGCAATAGTAAACTTTCCAAAAAGCCTTATTAAAATAGGAACACTAGAAAATTACTTTGTAGACCTAAGTTAATATTTCTCATACATATGTATAAAGAAATAGAGTTAAGAGACTCACCTCAGTATTTCAGGGCCACAAGTGCTCAATTATCTTTGTGAAGCAAGGATGAAGCATGGCAAAATCCAATCGGCAAGGAGAACTGGCATCTCAATCCCAGGCTTTATCTTCTTCCCTTATCCTGCATGTACAATAACTGCTACCTGGCAAACTATAACCATGCAAATTCCAAGTCTCACTTCTCTCTTACCAACTACCCTCTGCACAGAAGTATTCAGCAAGAGGTGAGATGACTGGAGCACCAAGTCAAGAGATGCTGGCACCACTCTTGTTAAGTCACTTGCCCTCTTTGGGCTCCTTTATTTCCCACACATGAAAGAAGAGACACATTAGTGGGAGCAGAGCTCTATCAACTCTCCAACTGTAGTACTCTACAACATTTCAAGCAACATAACTCAAACAGGCAATACAGAGGAGGAGGGAAAGGGCAAAGATGTGATTAACTATGGCGACAAGAGCAGCCTTCACATAGCTAAGAGTTAGCACTAAGACATTTCAATCATGCAGAGCTACTGTTAGGAATTTCTGTCTAACAATCACAAGTAAGTTTGCAGTCAGCCTAAACACGTGCACTGCACATTCTATCAATGACTGGAAAGATCTGCTCAATTATTTTTCAAAATAAAAACTCTTCAATCCAGTAAATTAATATGTATACAAGTCAGAAAAATAAAGAACACAGTTACTGTACAATAGTGTGAGAGACTATGAAATGGCAATACTTTTTTAAACCACAGATTTGTAATATATTTGTTCACTGTGCAGAGGGACTGTACCTCAAATAAAATAAAATGGATTTCTCAAACTAACTTACAAGAATGCCTATTGTTTTACACACTGAAAATCTATAATCTACATTTTATGTTTAAGACAGAATTAACCTACATTTGGTATAGTTACTTTAAACAACTGGAAGAATGAAAATTATCACAATAGATGATTGAAAAATTAAGCGAAAGGTTATTTTTTAAGTAACAAATGGGACTACTTAACTCATGTTAAGTATTTTAAAATCCCACTCACACCAGTATTGGATTTGTTTTCCCAAGGATTTGTACTCAAAGGCAACTGTTACAGCTTATGTTATGCTCCAGTGGCAAAAGGGCAAGTGTAAGACCTACCTAATTTATGTAAATCCAATGAACAGCTTTTGATTATTAGAATTTAGCATGTGCACCTGCTTTAGGACATTTTAAACAAAAAATCTAATATAGCTGGGTTTAAATATATATTAAAAATGTTTAAATATATACTGAATATATATTTAAAGAAAAGCTGCAGTACAGTCATGATGATTCATGACTATAATCCCAGCACTTAGGAGGCTGAAGCAGGAGGACTGTCAAGAAGAGTAACAGGCCAGCCTCCCAAAATATGCAAATAAAGGCCAGGCATGGTGCTGTACTGTTGTAATCCCAGTATTCAGAAGGCTAAGGCAGGAAAGTTTCAAGTTGAAGCAGCTTGGGCTACACAGTGAGTTCAAGAGTAGCCTAGGCTAGAAGATTCTATCTCAAAAGCAAACAGCAGCAGGATTTAAAAAAAAAATAGCACATTATTTAACTGAGCAAAGAGATCAGTGATGGAGCATTTGCCTAGCATGTATGAAGGTCTGGGTTCCATTCCCAGCATCACAAAAGCTTAAAAGAAAATACAGATGCCAAAAAAATAGCTTACTGGGCTGGCAATATGATGACCTGAGTTCAATGCCTAGGACCCCTAAGGTACAAGTTGTCCTCTGACTTCCACATGCAGCTGTGGACGTGTGAACACACACACACTTACACACATGCATACAAAATAAATACACATAAATTTAAAAAATAAATTCTGGAATGAGTTCATTAAGTTTAAATTTGCTCCTCAAACTAAGTCAATTCAAAATATTACAACTTTTCAGTTCACAAGGCTTATGTGGTACTTAAAAGTTATTTTAGGCTAGGTATGGTAACACACTCCCACAATCCTAGCCCTTCAGGCAGCTAAGCTAGAAGAGCTGGAATTCAAAGCCAGTCGAAGTAAGTTAGTGAAACTTGTAAAAGTAAAGCAAATAGCTGGGATGTTAGCTCTGCAGAAGAACGCTTGCCTAAAATGTGTGAAATCCCAAGTTCAATCACCAATACCACCACCACACCACACACAAAGTTATTTCAATTTAGTATAATGTTTAACCAAAAATAATATATTTGCCACTCAGAAATAAGGGACAATTAACAGGTAATTCTCCAGGGCTAAATTAACACATTTAGTGAACAAAGGGTAAAGTTATACTCCGTGAGTCTTCGGATAGAGGGTAACTAAGGACCAACAGCTGCAGGCTGTGCCCCGAGCACTCAAACAGTCCATTAGTCATTCACCTACTTAGAGGGAAGACAGTGCATCTGATCAGTGCAGCAACAGGGGATGGAAAACCTCTGTGAGGAAGGGCGGATCAATAGATGGCTACATGGAGCTCATTATATTTGTACCTTGCAAATTTTAAAAATTTTAAGTATTTATAGAATTATACAACAATCCTGTGCTATTTTAAACAGAATAGTTAACTGTCAGATTATAGCTGCCCAACCTATACCAAAAGGACCTCTACACTCCTCCCTCCTTGCCATCCTACATTGTTCTGAAGAAACAGATATTCGAAATAAAAACATGAACAAAACCAATTTCCTGCCTGTGGATCTTACAACGTGATTACACAAGGGTAGAAATAAAGGGAGGCCCTGGGGTGCTAATTACACAGTTTCTTCCTTGACTTATAGACCACTGAACAGGGGTTCAAACCAACCCCACACAGGTGGAAGCTTTGTTCTCTGACTTCAGTTGTCAGATTCCCTCCTCATTCTAGCATCTGCTGCCAAAACAACTGTCTACCCTAGAGCCTTGGGTAGAAGAAGCAGGAGATCTTACATAGTATTGTTATTTATGCATCCACTTTAATGCAAAAAATAAAACTCATTATATATGAAACAAGTTTCTGGGGCTAGGCAAGGTGACTCAGTAGTAAAGGAGCTTTCTGCTGAGGATGACAGCCTGATCCCTGGGATCCACATGGTGGAAGGAGAAAATCAACTCCCTCAGGTTGTTCTCTGACTTCCAACCATGTACTGTAGCATGCCCTGTCCCACCTTAATAAGTGTAATAAAAAACTTTAAATGAAATAGTGTTGTTTCTTAAATTGTTCCATGTAGGGCAGGTGTAGGTGTGCACACGCATTTGTGTGTTTTTAACATTCCTGGACCCCAATGATGAAAAGTTTTGGCATAGAGACCAGTACAGTGGGGGGCAATCCCTTAAAGACATGAAAAACCACACCACTTACTTGGAGATATATGAAAATGATCTGCTGAGATACTAGAGGTTGTCTCAGTAGGGAATGCAAGCTAAAAGCAGGATTATCTCCTTGGTGGGATGGGGATAAAAGGATCTGAGAATTTATGGTTTGAGGAAAGGTTAAGTTCTGCTAACTCAAAAATACAAAGCGAATGTTGCTGGCTACTAATACTGACTGAAACACAGTATTTTGTGTTCATATCTGTTAACTACCAATCCCATGTCAATAAATGGTAAGACAATGAATTACAATAAAATAAATTTAAAATTTAGATCACATCAACAGTCCTAGAATGTCATTTAACCGTGCATATATTACCCATACACTGAAGGGCTTTTTCTGTTTGTTTTATTGAGGTGCACACAGGATCTTGAACTCCTAATCCTCCTGCTCCCAAGTGCTATGTGTCATCATGCCCAGCTTAGTCACTAGTACTCTGTAGAGCTATGAAAAATATGAGTTCTTTTTTTGAGGGGGGAGGGGGGGTTCGAGAAAGGGTTTCTCTGTACCTTTGGAGCCTGTCCTGGAACTAGTTCTTGTAGACCAGGCTGGCCTCGAACTCACAAAGATCCTCCTGCCTCTGCCTGCCGAGTGCTGGGATTAAAGGCATGCGCCACCATCGATCGGCTAAGATATGAGTTCTTAAAAAGTATGCAAGATGTTTTGAAAAGTTTTCTCCCAGAATGCAAGCTAGGTACAGTGGCACATACCTGTAATCCCAAAACTGCAGAGGTGGAGACAGGAGTATCAGGAATTCAAGACCAACCTCAGCTACATGAGATCTTGTCTCAATGAAACAAAAAGCCAGTCGATTTTTTTAAAGAGTAAAAACCATAAAACAAAGAGTTCTCAACTTATAATTGACTCAGCAGCTGATCAAATGCTTCTCTCTTCCTTCACACATAGTATCTTGACACACATTGATAAAAACTGACATTTTTCAAATATCCTAAAAAACTTTTATTTAATGAATTAACATCATGATAGATGATTTTAGTAAAGATAATAAGACTAAAAACCATTTTTCCAAAGTATTTACCTGATATTTTACTTATCTTTTAAATTTAAGATTTCAGTTTGATTTTAATACCAACACACAACCCAGAAATGATCTAGTTCAGTCACATCATTACTTCAAAGAATCTGAACTAACAGATGAAATAGATAAGAACTATGACTATAATCTGTCTTTTCCAAGCAGCTGACTGCCATGCTAGAACCATTAGTTCAATCTTCTAACTTATGTATAATGCAAATTTTTTAGTGCTTGCCTGGAATACAACATTCTTGCAAACATTCTATTCTCCAATTTTTAGGGAAATGGATATTGTTAGTAAAGTGATCTCTCAGCTAAGAGTCTGTCAATGTGATTAGCATACTGTGTCATTTTATCAGCCTCCTACAATATGGAAGAATACAACCACTCTTTAAAATGTCAGACTGGCAACTTTGTTTTATTGGGGATGTATTCAATCCTTAAAAGAACTACAGCCCCGGGACTGCTCCAACCAGGAGAAAGCTCGGGTTGCTTTCTCTCTGGCGTAGCATCAGAGCACCGTATCTGACAGGTCGATAGCCCGATGAGCCACGTGCAGGTGGCTCTTGTCATAGCCTCTGTCCTTTTTTGTAGCACAGCAAATGGAGGTCATGTACACTCTAAACAAAAGCCACATTTTATTCTGTTTTGTTTTTGTTTTGAGATAGTGTTCCCCTGTGTGACTCTGGATGTCTGCAACTTAGGTATTTAGAGCAGGTGGATCTCCTGCTTTACCTGAGTGCTGCCATAAAAGGTATGACTAGCAGTTTTGAATTTTCTTCAGGGTATAATCCATTTCTCTTTAGTTAATAACATTTTACAAAACTCTGTAAACTTAAAACTAATAGTAATAAATTAATTATTCACCTACCTTTCTGCTTATCATGTTGACTAAAACCATCTAAATGGCGTATCGTTTTCTTTATAATAGATTAAAGAGATTAATTACCACAACAGCTCAAACCACTGAGAGTACTGGGATTTTATAAACACAAGTCAGAAATGACAAAAAATAAAATAATCATTTTCCTAACACCAAGAAGTAAGACTAGTTCAGACGCATGACTCAAACTTTTATGGGTTAAACTTTTCTGCAGAACTCTTCAGAATTTAAAAGACCAAAAGCAAAGAACACTGTTTGCAACCTCTGCTTACAATTCCAACTTAACATGCTCAGTGGAATGACTAATGATAACTTACACTGACATAGTGACAACTATAAGACAGAATTTTCAAAATAACAGACAAAGACAAGGTCTAATAACTAACTGGCTTTTCAGGAGAATTTAACAGGTTAAGAAAAACATCTAAAGTTAAACTAATGAAAAGCGCCGGGTGGTGGTCGTGCACACCTTTAAGCCCAGCACTTGGGAGGCAGAGGCAGGTGGATCTCTGAGTTTAAGGCCAGCCTGGTCTACAAAAGCTAGTTCCAGGACAGGCTCCAAAGGTACAGAGAAACCCTGTCTCAAAAAACCAAAAAAAAAAACAAACAAACAACAACAACAACAACAAAAAAGCTAATGAAAAACAAGGTCACAGTCAAGCACCAAAGTACTTAGAGTTATCCTAATAAATAAAACTGTAATGCTTCCTACTCAGGACAGTTTGTCTCCTGAGGTCCAACTCAACATGAAGACTCTTGTTGACATGCAAATTTTCTAATACCTAATATTGCTTGAAACTCTCCCAAAACCCAACCATATCCAAGAGAATTTAAATCTATTCTTAGTTTAAAGAAATGTAAAAGCTATTCTTAGTCATTTTTGATTCACTACATAATTTCTTTTTCTTAGTTTTATTTCATAAATCTTCTGCAAATTTTTAATAAACAGAGATGGAACCTCTTCCTGTGTCTAGTGGCACTGTTAGACAGGAAAGTAAAGAAATGGTGTCACCACTGCTCCTAGTAATACTTCCCAAGAAGAGGATAACTGAACTGCAGATCTAAAGTCTCACCTAAATTGACACTGTTACCCCCAATTCAAGTTTACTCAGCACTGCAAGGACCTATGTTCTCACTCATCAGAAGCAGTATTCCATGGCTACATCCAAAGCATTCAGAGGAAAAATATAATCTGACAACACTGGGAATAGTCCCCCTATAACTGTTTATTAGGATGAGAATATACTCCAAATCAATAACTAAAAAAAGAAAAAAAAATCAAATTACAGAGCATGCATAAAATACAAAGTAGCAATTTATAAATAGACAGCATGTTTATAATCAATACACTAAAATAACAAACAGCTACAAAAGAAAAACAAAATGACTGACTACAGCAATGCCTTCTGTGCTCCCCACACATCATGAGCACTGCAAAAACCAGATTAACCATGAAACATAGTCATCTATGCAAGCCCATACATTTTTTTTGCAGGTATCCCACCATCCTGAACAATATCTTTGCAGTTAACTTTCAGAAAACTGCAGAGTAAGTGCTTAATATTATCCACAAGGAAGTAAAACTAAGTATTAGTGTGTACATTTCTGAATGAGAAACTAGCTGCTCCATTAATTTCAATTATGTAGTGGAAAAACCTATTTCAGGACCCTACCTACAATGCCTAAGTGCATTCTACTTAAATTCAAGGTACTATTTCATTTTCATACTAAAAGAACACATGCCTTTAAGTGGTACCACTTGAGCATAAATTAACCTCTCACTGTATTCTTTAGACATACTAAAACCAAAGGTTTAACTGAACTATATTCTATAATACACTGTAGAACTCAAAAGCATTGTTAAAATAATTGCTCATGCTTGTTGGTGAATATGATGATAAAATTAGGCTTCATTTCACTTACTAGAAGGGTTTAAACACAAAATTCACACTTCAAAATGTGATATTACTAGCATTAAGCTAGTTACTGCATGAGCAATAAAAATGCCAGACAATCTACTTCTGGGAAATGAGACTGGTTAAGCTACTCAGGCTGCCAATCACTGCAACAAAGACATCTCAGACAGAAGTCCACTAGCCTGCCAGGCAGCAGGTTAACTTGCGACCCCATAACCATGATGCCCTACACAAAATAAAGTAGTCCTTTGTGTTTATTAAGATAATTCTTTTCCAGAAAAAAAGAATCCCCATCGTCTTGGATGCGTACAAAAACTAAAGAAAAAATTTACAACATAGACCTATTAAGGCATTTTAGAAATTGACTTTCACGATGGAAAATCTTCAAGCTCTCAAAATGCTGTTATGCTTATAGGGCAATCCTTAGGTCTGTCAAAATATTTACTGCATTGAGAAGAGTGTCTTACAAGCTGCTCTGTGGCAAAATAATAGCTTATTTCTAAGGTTGTCTTAGATTCAATCAGGACCAATAGGTCTGAGCTTCAAGTGATCAAGTTCTATTATGTTCTACAGTGACAGGCTTCCATGATGAAGAGTAAACAATAATGAGGAATTCAAACATTCAGTTTATTAAACTAAGGCTACAGAAGCCATAGCATGAAAAAGAACTGCAGTCATTCAGGACAAAGTTGATGATTTTATAAAGCCAAAATTAAAAGACTTGAGACATGAGAAGATTCTTAAGTGTGAGGAAGTAATAAAACACAGAAAGTGACCACAAGAATTACAAATATATTTAAATCTCAGACCTGGGAAATGGACTATACACAGCCTTCTAGGGGAAGAGAGACGCCTTAGATGTTCTGACAGCACTGCACCTTTGGCTTGTTTTCAGTGGTAGGTGGAACATGAATAGGAACCACATTGTTGCTTGGAGACATGTCATTTTCACGTCTGTCTGACATTTGCTTCTGAGAAACAATACGGTATATCTCTGAATGACAAAAGAAACAGAAACACTTAGTGTGTGTAAAACCATGAAGAGTTTGTGTGAAAGAGATGGAAAATATGCAGAACAAAAAACACACACATTTACATTTTTATTTTTAGGCCAGGCATGGTAGCACACATCTGTGATCCCAACACTTGAGAGGCGGAGTACAGGACCAAACTTGGCTACATAGTAAGTTCAAGGATAGGCTGGCTACAGAAGACCTTGTCTCAAAAAGTAAGATTTTATTTTCAAATAGCCACTAATTAGATTCAAAGCATATTTAAAAAAAAAAAAATTTCTATTACAGTAAGAAGAGTTCACACAAACTGACAATGTGTAAAATAAATCTGTACTATCACATAGACCTAACTGTTTTCTAGGCTCTGTAGAAAAGAACACAATTTCTCAAACATACTAAAATCCCAAGAGCTTCAAAAGAGAAAAGGACCTCTACTTACACTGTCCTCCTCTGGGGCTAAGATTAAATTATTTCAAAGAGATAACCTAACATACACGTACTATTTTACTTTCATGGCATATATCAAGATTAACCTTGTAGTCCTCACTAAACATTAATCTTTTAAAGACTAAAATATTTGCTTCATTTGTTGCTTTAGTTCCACAGAGTAGACGCTTAAGGAACTACTCAGCATCAGTGAATGTCTCCCAGTATCTGTACTGAACTCATTGAAAATAGCCTTGCACTACACTACCTAATCAAACAACAATACACTTCTCAAGAACAACAAACACAGACCTCCATTCTTGCCTCTCCAACGCTCTTTTTAAAGAAATACCATCACAAGGTAGGGAAACTCTAGAAACAGGCAATCCAATACAATGTACTAGGAAGGACACATGTGTCGCTGGCAAAACCACTCTTGGTGAATTTGTTCATGCAGAAACAGGACAGATACAGAATCAGATGAGTAGAAGCTTTCTATTTCTGCTACCAATACAGTAGCTATTTAAATAAAAATTAAAATCCATAGTTAAGCATAGGGGCACAAGCTTTTAATCCTAACACTCAGAAGACAGAGGCAGGCAGATTTCTGTGAATTCAAAGTCAGCCTGGACAACACAGTAAGTAACCAGGTCAGTCAGGGCTACGTAGTAAGACCTTGTCATTAAAAACAACAAAAGGCAATTCTATAAAGGATATTACTTAAAAACTTGGGAAAATCTGAATAAGAACTGCACACTAGAAATACTGTAGACGTATTAAATTTTTTAGACCTACAGTCTGTGATTATTTAGAATCATGCCTCGTTCATATGAAATAAAACGTTTACACTTTAAAAGTATAAAGTTATACAGTAAAAAATAGAAAATAAGAGATATATATTCAAATAGTGGTGGTGCACGCCTTTAATCCCAACACTCGGAAGGCAGAGGCAGGTGGATCTCTGTGTTCGAGGACAGCCTGGTCTACAGAGCAAGTTCCAGGACAGCCAGAGTTTTTACTCAGAGAAACCCTTCCTAGGGAAAACAGAGACAGAGAGATGATCAAAATGTTCCAAAAAGGTTGGGTGTGGTGGCACATGCCTTTAATCTCAGCACTTGGGGGACAGAGGCAGGTGAATGTCTGTCTGTGAGTTACAAGGCCAGTTTGGTCAACATAGTGAGTTCCAGGACAGCCAGGGTTATGTAGAGAGACCCTTCTCAAAACAAGTTCCAAAAACACATCAACCAGCTATAACATATAAACATTATCTGGATCCTAATTTAAACTGTAATTTTTAAAAATGCTTAAGTACGCTTAATATTGTTTAAATAGCCGGTGGTAATAAGAAATTACTACAAATTTTCTAGGTGTTGTATAATGAATTTAAATTCCTTTTTAAAAACATATTCTGAAATATTTGGAATATAAAATGACTTACTATCTGGGATTTATTTAAAAGTAATAAAAAAGGGCATAGGTCAGAAACCAACACTGATGGTTACTAAAATGGACTAGTATAATCTATTCTACTTTAGGTAAGCTAGAAGTCACACAACAAGGGATGAATCAGTTTTTTTGGTGTTAAAGAGATGACACAGCAGTTAAAAGAGTACTTACTGCTCTTGCAGAACCTGAGTTAGTTCTCAGTACCCACATGGTGGCTAATAACCATCTGTAACTGAATCCACAGGATTCAAAGCCCTTTTCTGGCCTCCATGAACACGAGGTATACATGTGGTACACACATATCCATAAAAGAAAGCACTTATACACATAAATTAAAAATAAGTAAATTTAGAAAAAAATTCCCCTAAGGTTGATCAACAATAACTTAATAAATGAGGTCGGAGTCATGGCTCAGTGGCTAAGAGAACCCACTGCTCTTCCAGAGAACCTGAGTTCAATTACCAGCACCCACGTCAAGTAGCTCACAACTGGTTCTAATCCTAGCTATAAGAGCATCTGACTCCCTCTTCTGGTCCCTTTCATCACCCCCATACATGGGGCATACACTACACACACACACACAGACATGTAACAAAAACACCAAAAATGTAATTTTTGTATAATTTTTTAGGGAAGTAGCTAAAATTTGTCTGAGAAGGTTGGTAGTGGTTCAAAGATGAAGAAGTATCAGTGAAGAAAGAAGGCAATAAAGACAAGATGTTGCCAGATCGTTCACTGAGAGGGGATAGGGATGGCCAGTGAGATGGCCCAGTGGATAAAGACACTTGTTCTTAATCCTGACAGCTTCAGTACAATCCCCAGAAGCTGTATATTAAAAGGAGAAAGCCTAACTTCTGAAGGTTGTCTTCTGACCTTCACTCTCGGACTGTGGCATTCAATGAGCCTCACCACGACACAAAATAAACAAATACTTTCAAAATTGCTTTAAAAGAAAAAAGCCAGATGTGGTGCCATACACATCTTTAATCTCAGTGTTTGGGAGGCAGAGGCAAAGAGGCAAAAGGTAGGTGAATCCTGTGAGTCTGAGACCAACCCAATCTACAGACTGAGTTCTAGGTCAACCAGAGCTACACAATGATATACTATCTGATACGCTATCTCAAAGAAGAGGTTCGGGTTGTGATAGGAAGAGAGAGGCAGATAGAGAGGAGGGAGGGAGAAGAAGAATGAGAAAAAAGAATGGAATGGGAATGTATCCAGGGAAAAGAGAGTTCCCTGCTAGTGACTAAGGAATAATGATAATCATCAACTAGTAGTTAAACTATACCATTCACTCTTTATGTTGTCCACTAATAATACCTAACTGGATAGATCATCTCTTTGAAGAGAAAATCATTAAATATGTGACCCCTGTTAAAATTTAACTTCTTTACAAGCTGTTCTGAAGATTAAGTTAGGGGAACAAAACCAAAACATCAGGAATCCCTCCATAAAATACAAATGCATACAACACCAGAAGAGAGACAAAGGGAGACTTCTTAGAGGACAGAGAGGTAAATAATTAAAGAGAGTTCATCACAAAGCAAGAAACTTGATCAGTGTTGTGCAACAGTCTCCAAGTGCTCCATTCTTCTAGAAACGGTAGGTACTGTTGCTGTGTTTACTCCTGTCGCTAAAATCATATCCACTTTTGAAAAATACCAACAAGACAATAAACAAAAGGAATTAGGGGAGAAAAATTCAGGTCTAAAGACTTCTAAAGAGCTCCACAAGTAATTTACTTTAAGTCTCGTGTGTTGGGTGTGTTTACAGAGAAATCCTGTCTTGAAAAACAAAGAGGAAAAAAGGAAAGAGAGAGAGAGAGAGAGAGAGAGAGAGAGAGAGGGGAGGGAGAGAGGGAAGGAGGGGAGGGAGGATGAGAGGGGAGGGGGGATTAGGGGCGAAGAGGGGAAAAGAGAGGAAAGGAAATAGTAACCAGTAACTGTCCAGCAGAGATCTGATTTATAAAGGCTTAGTTCATGGTGGGGGAGGGGTCAATAACATGCTAAGACAGAAGCATGTTATGTTTCTTATGTTATGTCATATATGTTATGACCCTGTTCCCTCAAGGGTCTGTTCTCCTTTAACCAAAATGAATGTGATTACTTATTCCCATGCAATTTCTTTTCAAGATGTCCAAAGGGCCAGGCAGTGGTGGCACATGCCTTTAAAACCAGCAATCGGGAGGCAGAGGCAGGCGGATCTCTGTAAATTCAAGGCCAGCAAGGTCTACAAAAGCTAGGTTCCAGGATAGGCTCCAAAGCTACAGAGAAACCCTGTCTCAGAAACAAAAAACAAATAAACAAAATGCCAAAGGTTAGGACAACTAGAAAAAGCAATCCTGTTTCATCTTCCATCAGAATTTCTTATAGGATATCTAAACATAAAATGAAATAATAATATATTATAGCTTTAAAAAAGGCAAAAAGACATAGTCTTTTTTTTTTAATCTATGGGACTTATGGAACAGCTGGCAAAATAATTCTAGAAAGATTACACACAATTGTTCCAAATTAAGGAACAAGAGGGTTAAAATTTGTTAGTTCCATAGGTGCTGTAAGAGATGGCTCAGAAGTTAAGAGCACTGATGGCTCTTGCAGAGGACCCTGTTCTGTTTCAAGCACTCACAAGGCAGGTCACAACTACCTGCAGTTCCAGAGGATCTAACACCCTCTTCTGATCTCCTTAGCCACGTGGTACACATACATACACTTAGGTGTACCTACACGTAAAATAAAATAATAATTAAAAAAAATTCTTTAGTTTCTCCCAAGTTTTTTAAAGCTCAGGAGCCAGGGTAATTTCATGACAGCCTCTTCAAAAGCTTCTCATTTATTAAGTTCTTCAAGCTCCTGCTCATCACATACAGTTCTTGAAGGTCAAAAAACATTCCAATTTGATAGTCCAACATTTTCTGCACCAAGTGAGAACAAAGTTACCATTAGCTCTAATGAAAAGAGAACCAGTACTCGGCTGGCAAGATGAGTAAAGGGATCCACATTTCATTCCTGGAAACCATATGGTAGAAGGAAAGAACTGACTCCTACACTTATCCTTGGACCTCAACTCTTGGGCCCAGATACATATTCGCATATATGTACACAAAAGTAAAATAGAATTTGGAAACTCTTTAACAATTCTTAATATTCTGATAAAGTTAACACCTGGCGACTTTAGCCCCTTCATTTTTATTTATTTTATATGTTATATGGCTCAGGATGACCTCACACACATACAACTCCACCCACTGGCTGAGATTATAGGTACGCACCACAAAACTGGCTTTAGCTGTGTTTTAAAGAGCCAGTATGTTACATGAATTAAAGTTATTTCAGCTACAGAATTAAGAGTTCAGTCCTCAAATTAGGAATTTACTTTGAACTTACTAATTATATGGAGAAACCTGACTAAGAGCACCTGAACTAAAGGTCAAAGTTAAAGCTACCAATGAGTAAAACAAACCTATTATCAGGAGCTTCCTACACGATGACCTGAAACCACCTGCGTGGTGTTCCTGCTGCAAGCTGTACACTTCAGTTTAATCATAAAGAAACACTGAGTAAACTCAAACTGAGAAAATGACAATGGCCTGTACCTTTCAAAAATACTAAGGTTGGTAAATAAAGGGAAAGTGAAGGAACAAATGTCATGACAGATCAGCTGAATGGAACATGTGATCTGATCCCAGACTTTTTTTAACTAACAAAGTCTTTATTGGAGCAACTGGCAGAATATGAGTAAGGTCTGTACCTAAATACTGATGTGATTAAGTCACTGTGTTGTGGTTATAAAATTAAAGTGCTTATGTTTAGTAAATATTTTTTTAAAAAGACTTAGGAAAAGGTATATAGAGCACTTACTTTCACATGGTGCTATATACACATGTATGTGTCAGTGTTGTGTGTGTCTATGTGTGTCTATGTTTGTCTCTGTGTGTGTGCATATCTGTGTGTCTGTATGTGTGTGTGTGTGTGTGTGTGTGTGTGTGTGTGTCTGTATCTGTGTAGGGGAGGGAGAAGGGAACAGGTGAATGGAAAGAAAAGACACTACATTTAAGGAAATGAGGTACAGGTACTCACAAATTCTTTATAATATTATTCTAAGTTTTAATCACCTCTGAAATTATTAAAATGAAAAGAGGGTATGAAAAACAGTGGTTAAAAACCTCTCTTAGGGATGAAGCTCAGTTGGTACAGTGCTTACATGGCACGCTCAAGACAGAGTTGGATCCTTAGCAGCATGCCCCTCTCCAATCCAATCTCCTAGTAAACTTGAGGTGGAAAGAACAAAGCTGATCTAAAAAGCAGGGTGGAGCAGTCTACCAGTCCACCTTGGCACTAATCAACTACTAAAAGCACCACCAGAAAACTCTTGGAATCACTGAGGACTAAAGAATGTAAATAAAGTGTAGATCTAATGTAAAAAATTACCAATCTATGTAATTTTACATTTGACTCAGTGGATAAAGGCTCCTGTCAGCAAGCCTGATGACCCAAAGGCTGTTAAGGAGATGTCCTCTGACCACCACATGAACCCCTGATATTTTGAATGAATAGGTAAGATTTAATTTTTAAAAAGTTAAAAATTAAGCCAGGTATAGTATCACATGCCTTTAATCTCAGCACTTCCAAGGCACAGACAGGTTGCAAGGCTAGCCTGGACTACATGGTGGGAAAACAAAGACAAAGCAAGCAGGACTTGGAAGCATATTGTGTATTCATTAAAATATTGCAAGCTTAAAAAAATCTGCAGTGAGATCACTTAAAACAGATTTTTAAAAAAAAATGAAAAGAGCTGCTATGTGCCACAAACTGTCTATTGCCCTCCGGCTCCCTATTGATTTTTCTTCAGATAACAAAAAACAATTTTATGATATGGTGCCACACACCTTTAATCCAGCACTCTTCAGGCAGAGGCAGGTGGATCTCTGAGTTTGAGGCCAGCCTGGTCTACAAAGTAAGTTCCAGGACAGCCAGAACTACATAGCGAAATCCTGCTTTAGAGAGAGAGAGAGAGAGAGAGAGAGAGAGAGAGAGAGAGAGAGAGAGAGAGAGAGAGAGGGGCAGGCAGGCAGGCAGGCAGGCAGGCAGGCAGACAGACAGACAGACAGAAAGAAAGAATAAATGAAAATCCCAATATTTACAGTACTTTAACAAGGTTTTTTTTTCATGCCTTAATTGCTAATTAGGTACTGATTTATCAAATGTTCACTATTTACCAGGAATAGCTAAGCTCTTGACAGACATTAACTCATTTTTGGAAACGATAGCAGAAGTATCAGTGACAAATCATTCTCTTCTGTGGAGCAAAATCAAACAACAAATCCACTAGGTAGCCATATTAAATCATACTGTAGAAATTTAAAAGCACAAGCTCTCTCATGAAGAAAATAATAACTAACCAAAATGTATTTGAAATATTTTTTAGTTTGTTTTATAGTATGTGTATGTCTACATTTGAGTTCATGCTCATGAATATGCAGGCACTCTCAGAGAAAAAAAGAGGGTGTAAGATTCCCTGGAGCTGGAGTTACCGGTGGTTATACGCAGCCTGGTATGAGTGCTGGGAACCAAAATTTGGCCCTCTGGAAGAACAGTGTGATTTCATAACTACTGAGCCACTTCTCCAGCTCAACACATCTGAATTTTACAAATGAGAAAATTAAAGCCTTGGAATTAGTAAGTAATTTGCCTAATAAGATTATAGCTCCAAAAATAAGTGGAGGAATCAGGCTTTCCAGTCCATGATCTAAATTCCTAAGTTTATTACATACATTTTTTAACAATAAGAGAATATTTTAAAGTTAAAATTCTGCTCCCCTCTAATACAAGTGCTACATCAGCATTAAAATTTGTCCATTATGATAGAAAACTAAACAATTCTATGTATCAATTTATCAGAACAGCACATAAGACTCAACTATGTGTTGAATAAATTTGGATTCTTAAAAAATCTTAAAGATCTTAAAAGTAACACACAATATAGGTATCTTGAAAAACAACCTATGAAAATACTTCCTAGTAAAGTAAATGCACTGATAACTTGGCTATTCTTATAAAGTCAAAGTAAATATTAGTCAGAACAAATAAAATGTCTTTTTTCCAAGAAGCTGACTAGTTATCCACATTCAAAATAGCATGAACTTTGTCCCTTTCCCAATTAAGCCTTTCTATATGCAGGCTTGGCTGATTTTATTTATAAGGGACACTCCTACATCATGGAAAAAGCACCAGTGCTTTCTTTTATTCCACTTAAATTTTTTGATATACTTTTCCTAGTTTTTTTTTCTAAATTCTTCTTCTTTTTCTTTTTTTTTATGTGTGTCTGTCTGTCACATGCATGCAGGTACCAGCATCGCATCCCCTAAAGCTAGCGCTAAAAGGCAGTTATGAGTTGGTGTAGGAGGTTCTTCTGTCTATGTGTTGCTTTCATTGGCTGAATAAAGAAACTGCCTTGGCCTTTTGATAGGGCAGCACATAGGTAGGCAGAGTAGACAGAACTGATTTCTGGGAGGAAGAAAGCAGAGACAGGCAGATGCCATGGATGGACGCTAGTTAGAATCTTGCTGGTAAGCCACAGTCATGTGGCAATACACGGATTTAATAGAAATGGGTTAAATCAAGACATAAAGGTTAGCCAATAAGAAGTTAGAGCTAATGGACCAGGCAGTGTTTAAATGAATACAGTTTCTGTGTGATTATTTCGGGGGTTAAGCTAGCCGGGCAGCAGGGACAACAAGCAGCCTGCTCCTCCTCTAACAGTGAGTTACCCCATATGGGTGCTGGAAACACAACTCAGGTGCTCTGGAAGACCAGTAAGTACCCTTAAATGTTGAGTCATCTGTCCAGCAGATTTCTATCTAATTTCAAAAGGCATTTATTTATATCACTCCATAGTCAGTACCTCAGTATTTACCTTATTAAAGTGCATTTCAAAAAAGAACACACAACTTTGTCCCTTTGACCATGAAATATAGAATACATGGCCTGAACACAAGTCACCAAATTATTTTCAAAGAATTTTTTCCCAGACGAACCCAGTGACTGAAGTGCAACGTAAAAAAATTGTAACTGTGCTCCCAAGGAACTCTTGGCTACAGTGGCTCTTAAATGATAGTCATTTTCAGATGGCATAACAGTTTTCTAATTAATTTGTTTAAATCACTTCCTAAAACTCCAGTTTTCTCTGGTGTAACCTCAACACACGTGTCTTACCTGTTAGAATTGTCTGAAAAGCAGCTTCGACGTTAGTAGAATCTAGAGCAGATGTCTCAATGAACGATAAACCATTCTTCTCTGTGGAGAGAAACAAAATTTTCAATCTTGTGAAATTTGATTGCTTTATAATAGTGCTGATGATCAAATCCAGGGCCTCATCAATGCTAGCTGAGTCCTCTACCACTGAGTTACCCTCCCTCCCCAACTCACGGTTTGAAACAGCAGATGTGATAAGCTCATAATCACAAAGGGAAGATAAAAGACTGAGTAAGACCTAGCTGGCCGTGGTGGTCCACACCTACCAACCAGCACTTGAGAGGTAGAAACAGGACCAGGAATTCAAGACCAGCCTGGACTACATGAGAAAGTGTCCTAAAACATCAAATAAACGAAACCTTAGACCATACCAACTCCTGGGGTAGTAAGAACACTGTTTTACTTATACTTAAATAAATTATCAGAAGGGAAGCAAGAAACAAGTAGAACCTATATGAAGCCCAAAGTGTTCAACTTCTAAGTAGATGGATGGGTGCACCCTTGTTGGTCCCTGATACTCCTTGGCATACTACTTTTCAGACTCACATAGAAAGGCCTTGCTAAAGAATAAAGGTGCAATGTTCAAACAGAGAAATGCAGAAGCATGTATTATTGTGGAGCTCACATTACTAACCTGCAAAAGCTCTTGCTTCATCTGTAGGAACTGCCCTGAGATGGCGTAAATCACTCTTATTGCCCACAAGCATGATAACAATGTTGCTATCAGCATGATCTCTCAGTTCTTTCAGCCATCGCTCTACATTTTCATATGTGAGATGCTTAGCAATGTCATAAACCAATAAGGCACCTACTGCTCCACGATAGTATCTGCAAACAGAAACATTTGTAACTATCAGAAGACAATCACAAAGTAGAAGGGAACACCAGAAAAAACTCAAAACAGGGACAGTATAGGGCAGGGAGACAGCTTTGGTAAAGCACTTGCCATCTAAGCAGAGGATCCAGAACCCATGTAAAAGCTAAGGACAGCAAACCTGATCCTCCTACAGTGAGAAGGGGGCTGAAACAGGATAATCTCCAGAAGTTCACAAGCCAGGTAGCCTGGCATAAGCAGCAGTGAACAATAAATACTGCATGTCTCAAACAAGGTAGAAGGTGAGGACCAGCACAAAAGGTTGTCCTTTAACCTCTATACACATAATACACAAACGTGTACATTTACATACACTCACACACACATGCATGGACACATGGAGACACACACACATACTATCTATAGATGTGGTAGACAGTAGTTGTTCCTATATGAGGCTTTTTATACCTAGTCAGCCAGAGACCAAAAATATTATATGGAAAATTCCAAAAATAAATAATTCATAAGCTTTAAACTGCCACCATTTTAAGTATTGTGACAAAACTTCTCAGTGTTCCACTTCATCCAGGCCAGCACATGACTCAACCCTTTGTCCCATGTACCCACACTGTGTAAACTCTTTCTAGCCCTCCCACTATCTACTGTCTTCCCTATGTTCAAGTAACCCTTGGTTTATTAAATAACGGCCCCCAAAAGCAACTAGAGCATGCCAAAGAAAAGCTACAAAGGGTCTAGTAAGAAGAAAGATACAGAGAGTTGGAGAGATGGCCCAGCAGTTAAGAGCACTGGCTGCTCTTGCAGAGGACCTGGGTTTGTTTTCAGGCACGCACATGGTGGTTCACAACCATTTGTAACAGCTTTCAGGGGATCTTCTTCTTACCATCTTCTTACCTCCACAGGCACCAAGCATGCATGCAGTACACATACACATATGCAGGCAAAACATGAATAAAAATAAAATGAATTTAAAAAAAACAAAAACAAAGAACAAATCACAATGGGAAGCATTCAGGGCTCAGTACTATTTGTGATTGCAGGCATCTATGGAGGGTCTGGGAACACACCTTCCAAAGTTAAGGGAGGACTACTGTACCTTCACAATACTTAAAGCTAGCAAGTCACTTGATACCAACGTATGCCAGAACTGAGAAACCATGAACTTACGCAGATGTTATAGCCCTGTACCGCTCCTGCCCTGCCGTGTCCCATATCTGTGCCTTTATTGTCTTCCCATCAACCTGGATGCTTCTTGTTGCAAACTCTACTCCAATGGTACTCTTGCTTTCCAGATTGAACTCATTCCGAGTAAATCGAGAGAGGAGATTACTCTTTCCAACACCAGAATCTCCAATAAGGACAACTGAAAAGAAAAAATATATATATAAATATATATAAGCTGGATGAAGGCAAGCTGGATGAAGGTTTTATTAGAACCAACATGCTTCTAATAAAAGGACATTTGAATTCAAAATAAATACAGCCAAAGATTTTAAAGAGGTACATACTGAATATCTTATGTCTATGATCAATTAAAATCCATTTCACCGATTTCTAGATTAAAATGACTTACACACATCATCTACTCAGCACAGATCAGATATAACACCCTATCTTAAAAAAAAAAATCCCTTTCTTTTTGTCCTATCTGGGAATTTAAACCCAAGGCCTTACACATGTAAGGTAAATACCAGACCACTAATATATATCCCCAGCTCTTGAAAATGCAATTTTAATCATACGGTACCCTAGCCACCGATGCAAACATTAATTACCTTTAATTTATACCAACCTCATTACCTTAGAAAGTATTCTGGAAGGTAAACAACAACTTGTGTTATTCACATGGTTTAAACATCAAACAAAAGATGTCAGTGCATAGACTGGGAAATGTGTACATTCTACTAGTTTTGTTGAAGACTTATGCGTAATATGAGAGCTGAAACACATTTAAAACATGAGGCATGTGGCTTACAAGCTTTGCTGCTTTGGTCACAGAAACTATAATCATCTTTAATAGTTACACTTCACAGACTGGCAGAAAGCCACAGGGATACCTCACCTTGCTATAGACAAACAGGAAGCTAACAATTCTGACATACTGAGTCAAAGTCAAAGCAAGAAGGGCAAACACTTTCACTTAGAACTCTAGAAAATGTAAAATCAAGTTTCGACTATACTTGCTTTCTATGAATAAAATAGAAATCAGGGTTTTTTGTTTTGGTTTGGTTTTTTTGGTTTTTCGAGACAGGGTTTCTCTGTAGCTTTGGAGCCTGTCCTAGAACTAGCTCTTGTAGACTAGGCTGGCCTCAAACTCACAGAGATCCATCTGCCTCTGTCTAGAACTTAAAATCTCCTTTTGAGATTATAGGTGTGTGCCATCGTGTCCAACTTCAGATAAACTGTATTAAAGCATGAGTCTAAAGATCAAAATTGGGAGGGGGATTGCACACACCCTTAATCTCAACACTTAGGAGGCAGAGGCAGGTAGATCTCTGAGAAGGCCAGCCTGGTCTTACAGGATAACCAGGGCTACACAGAGAAACTCTGTCTTGGCAGGGAGGAGGGGGTATCAAAATGGGTTTGTAGGTTTACAGATTCTGAGCTGAACATTTTTTTTTATTTTTTGTTTTTGCAAGCTGAACATTTTTTCTTGCATAAAATTTTTTGTTGGTATTTTAGTGAACACTGTATTTCTACTGCTGACTTCTAAACCAGCTGATTGATTTGGACATCAGACTAGAGAAAACCAACACGAAAAGTTAAGGCCAGGAAATAATAAGCCATGCTTTACTCAAAAGACTGGGATGTGATGGTACATGAAGAAAGAAGGCTGACTGCAGTCCAGCCAAAGGAGTAAGACAGCCCATTATGCACATCTTTCCTGTCACAGCAGCAGACACAAACTGGCCCTAGAACAACCATACATTATCAAATGTGTATCTTTCTGGCTTCCTCTATCAGCTGATTCAGCAAGAAATCCCAGCAGCAGTGACTCCGTACAGCAAAGAGAAGTCATTTCTATCTTTGTAGTCAATTAGAGGGTACCCTAGCAAACAGACATTAATGGTTTTACTGGATAGCAGTAAATAAATGTCAAGGTCATGAAAACAGAAAAAAAGCACTTTCAGTTTTACAGATGGTTAGTTAGTAAGCAGGTTTCCAAACTCCAACACTGTAGATATGAAATTGAATATTAACTATTTTAATAGAGCCTCCCTATTAATAAGATACAGTTACTGTTGTTTCTTAGTATAAGAGGCTAAATGATCAAAGCACAACTCCTGGGGGTGTCAGGGTGGGGACTGGGATCCCAGCCAAGAACCTAGTCTGGGTTTTAGCCAAAACTCCCTACACCTTTCCTAGCAATCCTTCAGACACTCTAAGAGTACAGAAACTTAAGCCTGGGAGATGATTCAGCAGGTAAAGGCAAACAGTGTTTAAATTAATATAGTTTTTGTGTGATTATTCGAGTCTGGGCAGCTGGGAAACAAAGGCACAGTCTCTGCTTACAGCTACCAAACTGAAAGGCTTAAATTCAAATCCATGAACCCATTTAGTAGAAAGGAAAGAATCAACTCCTTCAACTGTCTTAGACTTCTATACTCACATGCCATGGTGTGAGCCCACACATCACCAAAACAAACATACATTAACATACATATATACATAAAATAAACACATGAACTTTTTTCAAAAAAGGAGGCCAGATCACCTGCTAAAGAAATTTCCTTTGAATCACTTCCTAGTCCCACATTAGCATCAGCACTAACTAGAGGTATGAATAGTGAAGAAAGAAAAAACAAAGGTTAGAATGCATCTAATTAATTCACAGACACTCCCATTTCAGCCAGCACTTCAGCAGTCAATCACAATTTAAAGTCAAAGAGCACATGTGAGCATGGCATCTGGCTAGCACCACCTTTTAGTGGGGGCATACCTTCAAAAAACAATGTATGTCTCCGACAGAAGCTCCAGCAGTAGTTCATGTTTTGTTTTGTTTTAAAATATTAGCCACTCTTGCATTTTTTGGTTTTCAGGGTTTTTTTAAAAATCTTACTTTAGGTATAAAGATGCTTTGCCTGCATTCAAGTATGTAAATGACATGCATGCCCCTTAGAACTGGAATTATGAATGATTGTGAGCCACCATGTGGGTGTTGGGACTTGAACACAGGTTCTCTGTAAGAGTAACAAGTGTTCTTAATTGCTCAACCATAACTGCAGCCCGGGTTCATGTTTTGACCTCTACTTTTAACTAATGGCTAAATTTACCATCTTATCAACATCAAATCTTTATACCACACTAAGTGAAGAATCCACTCCCCCATGTAACCAATTAATTTTATTATTTAAGAAGCAGCAATAGTTTGCAAACAACTCAACATTCACAATGCTCTAACAGTATAAAATAGTTTTACCAACTACTGACAAGATCACCAAAATCAAGACATTCAACTTGTCAAAGGAAGAGGATGTTTGAAATGACAGAAGACTCCAGTTTTATAAGAATAAAAAAATATTGAAATGTAATACAAGAAGGAAAGAAGGTTCTATTTCCTAACCAAGTGAGAATCAAAACAAGAGTGATCTATTTAGGCTCAATGTATGTATGTATGTATGGATGTATGAATGGATGGATGGATGGATGGATGGAAATTAATGAATTATCTAAAAAACGAAAGAGAATTCATCAGTTTTGATTTTTTTAAAAAAGAAAAAACTTAATGGACCTTTCTTTGTAGACTCAAAAAAATCAAACAATTTTTACTCAAAATACTTTTTCTCATTAAGATGACAACATTTAAATTTTCCCCCCAGTGGTGCTGGAGATCTAAACCTATGGCTCATGCTAAACACATGATTTATCAGTGAGTTATTACACACCACCAGCCTCTTGGTTTTGTGGTTTTTTTTTTAATGTAGGAAACTATATGTTCATATCCAATAAAGAAATCAATTTCTGGGCCAGCAAGATGGCTTAGTAGGTAAAGGCACTTGCTGCCAAGTCTGATGGTAGAAAGAGAGAACAGACTTCTGACCTTCACACCCTCACCGTGGCTCACAACCCCAACATACACACAATCACACAAACAAATAAATGCAATAAAAATAAATGTAAAGGAATTTTTAGTAATTTTTATATATCCATTACTAACATGTTAGGTTAAATAAACATATTTAAGTATTCCACAATTTTGGCCATCTATAGAGTACATAAGATAAATAACAATATCTATATATCAAATATCAATATAATTCCTAAAATAATATAATGCCTCCCTAGAATCTAGATAGCCTCATCTGCTGAAGCTCAACCTAATGCCTAATATTAATCTGCTTACATATATGCTTTATGTATTATACACACCACAAATATCAGACTACTAAATACTGTAAAAGCAGAGTATGTATATTAATTATCCATTATTTAGGTTTCTATCTCTAACCACATTTAGGTATTTTTGCTATTGTTTTTGTTGTTATTTTCTGAGACAGCATCTCATTCTGTAGCCAGGATCTCATTCTGTAGCCCAGGCTGATCTCAAAAACATGGCTATCCACCTGCCTCAGCCTCCCAAGTACTGGCACCACAGGCATGAGCCTCCACGTTCAGTCTACATTTAGTTTTACTTTTGTGGTAAGCTCATTTACTGCTAACTCTTCACCTCACACACAAAATACTGGCTTTCAAACTTAGCAGCTAAAATCACTAACCACTTTCACACTGCTTTCCAAAAGAATTTCTACTTTCAACCACATTCACAGTCCAACCTCACCAAGTCTTTAAAATAAAATGCATCAATAATGCTGAAATCTAGACAAGTTTTTCCAGGTCCATCAGAATCTGAGTTGCTCAACCAAAAGCTGTGAAAGAAAAGCTACCAAGAATCAAGACAGGAATGGTTTCCAACGACCAGCTGATGATTCATCATCACACCTGGACTTCAATGCAACTCAAGAGAGAAAGTCGAAAGAGGTAGACTGCTCCCAGCAGCTTCCACAAAGTGCCTCTTTGACTGTCCTGGTGTCCAGCTTCCTCTCTATGTCCCACAGCACCTGAACCACACTGGTGTATTTACAAGATTAACTTTTTTTGCGGGGGGGAGGTTGAGACAGGGTTTCTCTGTAGCTTTGGAGCTGAACTAGCTCTTGTAGACCAGGTTGGCCTCTAACTCACAGAGATACACCTGCCTCTGCCTCCGGAGTGCTGGGATTGAAGGCATGCGCCACCACCGCCTGGCTTAAAATTGCATTTTTTAATATGTGTGTGCTAATATGCACACAGCACATGAGGAGGCAGGAGAACAACTTTTGGGAGTCAGTTATTTCCTTTCACCTTGTGAGTCTCAGGGTTGAACTCAGGTTGTCAGGCTTGGCAGGAAGCACCCTCACCCACTGAGTCAGCTTACAAAACATTTTTGTGTTAATAAGCATGTAAGTTTTAATAAAGAAGCGCAGAACTAAGAAACTTCTGAATTATTTTGTATCTTTGTGGGTTCTGGTTTTATTTTTTGTATATTTTGCTGTTTAAGACTGGGTGTTTAAAAAATTCTGCTGAGAAGAGTTTCCACTTTTTAGAAACTGCTACAGGATGTGAGTCACTTTATTTTTTATTTCAACACTGATTACTTAGCCAATTTTTTTACTTATACAATTATTTTAAAATGATTTCATTCCATAGAGATTTTTTCACTAGGATGAACCATAGCATTTCTACTTTGGAGAAGGCTAATCTAGAACACTTGATAGTTAAGGAAATTGGGGTTTATAACATTTAACATGAAGGGCAGAGGCAGGCGGATCTCTGTGAGTTTGAGGCCAGCCTGGTTTACAAGAGCTAGTTCCAGGACAGGCTCCAAAAGCTACAGAGAAACCCTGTCTCAACCCCTCCCCTCAAAAAGTTAATCTTGTAAATACACCAGTGTGGTTCAGGTGCTGTGGGACATAGAGAGGAAGCTGGACACCAAGACAGTCAAAGAGGAAACTGGACACCAGGACAGTCAAAGAGGCACTTTGTGGAAGCAGCTGGGAGCACAGTCTACCTCTTTCAGCTTTCTCGGAAAAAAAAAAGCAATTTAAAAATTTCAAAAAAGATTCATGGTTCAAAAATCTGACAAGAACTATAACAATTTCATTTATTTATTGAGTCCTCACAAGAGTAAATTTTATACACGCATTCCTCAAAAAGGTATCACAGTATTTCCTTTACTGAGGAAACAAAAAGTTGAGCATGGGGAAATGGTATAATTATATTATAATCTCAAAAAATAAAAAAAATTACTTTTGAAAAGTTAACTTTTACAAGGTCACAATGCAAATATAAAACCCCAGTGTTTTCTCGTGGTTCAAAGAATGGTCTAAATGTAAATGAAACTTAAATTCCTTCAGCCAATCTAGGGCAAATAAACATTCTTAGGAAAAATAAACAGCTTTCTATAACTAACCTTCACATTTCAAATCAAATGGGAGAAATGACTTCTAGAGACTAGGTACTCACTGCCATCACACAGTACTTAAAGATAAACCTCCCTTGACTGACTAAACCCCAAAGTCTCCTGGGATTTAAGTAATTTCACATCATCTCAGATGCTTTCAACAAACATTCTAGGACTCCTATTTGTTTTAGGTTTGGTTTTGATTTTTTGAGACAAGCTCTCACTACGTGTGGAACTCACTATGTAGACCAGGCTGGCAGGGAACTCACATGATCAGCCTCCCTCTGCCTCCTGAATGCCGGGATTTTAAGGCGGGACCACCACACCAGGCTTTCCTATTAGTATTTTTAAAGTTTGGTACCTTCTTACTGTAAATTATTTTCCAATATGGTAGTAAGGATGGACACGTAAGGTCCTTACCCTATAAATAGAATATTCGGAGGAGTAAATAATGGTAAGGGAATGCCAGCAGCGGATACGCCAAGACTTGTGAAGTATTTGGTAACGCAAAAGAAATGTTTCCTGCTTCATCATTTAGTCAGTCACTCTTAGCACCCAATAGCAAAGTCAGAAACACCATGCTTAACACTCCTGAAACTCCACCCTCCACAGAGAAGCTTTCAGAGCAATGGCCTCTTCCTCTCTGGTAATGATCTTTGTTCAGCACACCACTGATGGCTGCCCTTCTAATTCAGGAGCACGGCAAGACTATGAAAGTGAGAGCGCATTCATGAACCAAAAAAAAAAAAAAAAAAGCGTTCACTGTACTCTCTTTTCGCTGAGAACTGTATCCTTTCACTTTGGCTTCTTTCCGGACTCAACCAATAAGCAATTCTCTATCTACTCCCCATCCTCCCACGTTCTGTTCACTCGCTCGCTTCAATGCTCCCCTCGCCCCGCCCCACCCCACCTTGCAAAAAATTCTTCATTTCACTAAAAGCACGCTACCACTAGAACCCTCTCCTCACCGCTTGGGAAAGGTACGGGACCAACCAGGGCCCTTCCCTTCCTGCTGGATCCTCCCAGTATTGCAGCAGGAAGCAAGCAGCTCACGGTGATAAGCTAGCTAGTATTTGTGCAGCGCGCAATCTTTCCTGTTCGGGAACTGGGCCTTCAGGTCTGGCAGGGATAACAGCCACCACCCATCCGCAGCCCCTTCCCGAAAGTAAAGGAGCCATCCCCGTCTGGCTGGAGCCGGGCAGCGACGGGAGTGGGAAAGGGGTGAAAGAGGCCAGGTGGGAAGTCGCCTGCGCTCGGACACTGCGACAAGTGCACGCACGCCGGGGGTGATGGACGGCCCCCTCTTGCCCACCCCTGCTCTCCCTCCCACCAGCCAGGTCGCAGCGGAGCGCTAAACGTTGAGTGAAAAGGAAAGGCTCGAAGCTTCCCGGCTGTGGGGAGGGAGAGGGCAGTCCGCGGGTGCTGACCTCGAGGTCTGCGGGGATGGGGGTGGGGGCCCTGGGACGGGCGAATCTGGCCGAAGCCCAGGAAGGGCTCACCCGGAGGGAGGGGAAAGGAAACGAAAAGAAAATGAAAACCAAAAAAAAAAAAAAACCACAAAAAACAAAACATGGATAGAGTCGGCGCCCCCCTATGGGTGCTGAGCCGAGGCAGGGGCCTGTCAAGAGGGGATGTGAGGCCGGCAGCAAGCATCCGAGAGGAGGGGCCCGAGATGCACTGGGAAGAAACTGCCCGGCCGTGAGGAACGCAGCCATCGGGGAAGACACACAGCGAGGGGCGACAAGGCCCGGCAACCCTCCCCGGGGCGCAGGAACCGCGACGAGTGGCGGGACCCCCGTAGGGGCGGCAGGGAGGAAGCGCTGAGGCGGGCTCCGTCCCGGTCAGGGCTAGCCGTCGCGCGGGTCCCCCGGGAGTGTCTCGGGCCCCCGAATGGGCATTCGGCGGCCCACGGCTCACCTTTAAAGAGGTAGTCGTACTCGTCGTCGCGGGTGCCCATGGCGCGGCCGAGGAGCTGAGGGGCGGGAGCGGCGGTGGCGGACGGCGGCGGGACCAGGGGGCGTCGCTGCAGGGGTAACCCGAGAGCCGAGCTTCAGCTGCCGGACCGGTGAAGAGCCCCGCCCTGGCTCTGCGTCACTTCCGTCAGGCCCCAGCCCCTCACAGGAAGTACTTCCGGAGAAATGGCGCCCCGCCTCTTAGCTGGGTAGGGTGGGACGCTCAGGCATGAACTTCGCACTCTCACCCGGCTTGGGAAGGCGTACAGGGAAAACGGTCTTAAAATGCCCAGCTGGCCACAGTCCTCCGGGTCTTTGGCTTGTTCTTTCCTCAACCATGTAGGGAAGCCTGGCACAGGTTCTTAGTATTTGGTTTCCGGTTAGGGGCGGGGTTTTCTCAGAATTAGATACCCAAAGACATCGCTGCCGGTGTGCTGGTTCCATGGTGTAATGGTTAGCACTCTGGACTCTGAATCCAGCGATCCGAGTTCAAATCTCGGTGGAACCTGTTCCTTTAACTTTTTGTTGGCTATTATATTTATTTTTAATTCATATTGAATAATAGAATAATTTTGTTATATCTGCTCTGGAATTGAATCACATGTAGTATTTACCTATGAAGACTTCTCTAATTAGTCTCCAGTTCAGTAGTGTCTGCTACATGGAGACCCGGTAATTAAAACCCTTAGCCCTTTTTTAGACTTGGAGAAAGCTTGGCACTTGATTCCTTTTGCTGGAATTTTCTACACTAAGCTTCAGTTAAGGATAGGCACTTCTCACCCACTCAATCTCTTCAGAAATCTCTCACACTGTCTCCAGATGTCATTAAGAGAACTTCGCCCACCCTCATAAAAAGATTCATCAAGATCTTGAGTCCTATCTGCTGGCCTACAAGCTAAACCAGGTTAAATAAATTTAACACAAGAGAACAGCAATTTTCCATTTTAGCGAATGTCAACGTTAAGACTCAAGAGAGTTGCCATAGTGTTTCCTCATAGTTGTGTTCTTATTGTTGTCGGAGTCAGTCTCACTTCTCTCTGTAACCCAGAATGGCTTTGAAATCACTGTGTAGCCCAGGCTGGCCCTGCTGTCCTCCTCTGCCCCCCCCCCCCAGCACTCCACCCTCCATACACATAGAGGGATATTCACCTAATAAGTCCTGGGAAACATATGTTAGGTCGTGGAAAAGAGAATTCAGCCTACAGATGGAATTCAAGTTGCTAGTCAACTGACCTTAAGCAAGGACACTGTCTTAGATAATCTCAGTAGGCGCAGGGTTGTCCTTAACGTCTTTCCAAAGTGGAAAACGGGGTTGTCAGCATGGATGAGGTGCTCCTCAGGCTGCCACCAGCTGTCTTCAGGGAAAACCTGATTCTTGACTTTGCTGGGAAAAAAAAAGTCTTTCAAAATGATAAAATATGAAACAGAATCAGAATTTATTAAAAGAGATCTTAATATAGATTCTTTTTTCCTAAACAGGGTTTCTCTTGAGTTGCTTTGGAGCCTGTCCCAGAACTAGCTATTGTAGACCAGACTGGCCTCAACCTCCCGAGTGCTGGGATTAAAAGACTGTGCCACCACCTCCCAGCCTTAATGTACATTCTAAATTCTATGGTTAAGAGGAAGTGAGGGTCTCAGAAAAAAAGATGCGGCAAGAGCTTGAGCTTTTCAGAGTCCTGGCTTGTCTTTCTGGACGTCTTATGCACCAAGGGTTTCAGATCTATCATCAAGGAGTTGCTGAGGAATTTGAGATCACAGGGTAGCTCCTCCTTGGTGAATAGGGAAGTAACTGATAGGGTAAAATTCTAGGTCACAAGGACGGTCGCAGGGGAACTTGAGATGTTTCTACTTTAAACAAAGGTTTAGTCTTGTTTGTGAGATTCAAGGGAAATATCTGGGAGAAGAGTTATGCCGTACCTGAAGATCATAAAAGCTTAGGTCTTGCTATTTTAACATTATATAAATATAATGTTTTAAAAGCCATCACTAGGCCAGGTGTGGTTGCACATATTTTTAATCCCATTTGGGAGAAAAGGTAAATGTGAGTTCAAGGTCAGTCTAGTCTCCACAGTGAGTCCAGACCAGCCAGGATTACAAAACAGGAAAAAACAAAAATGAGGCCATTCCTACAGCTAGGGATGGCAGCACACTTGTGATCCCAGCACTCATGAGGTGGAGGCAGGAGGATTGCAAGTTCTAGGCCATTCTGGGCTATATGTGGAAAGTCTGTCTCAAAGGTGTTGGTGGTGGCGGTGGGGTGTGTGTATGGAGGGGTGTGGTGGCAATGGTGTGTGGGTGTGTGTGTGGTGTGTGTGGTGGCAATGGTGTGTGTGTGTGTGTGTGTGTGTGTGTGGTGGCGATGGTGTGTATGTGTGCTGTGTGTGTATGTGTGTGTGTGGTCTGTATGTGTGGTATGTGTCTATGTGTGTGTGTGGTGGTGATGGTGTGTGTGGTGGTGGTGGTGATGGTGTGTGTTTGTGTGTGTCTGGTGGTGGTGGTGGTGATGGTGTGTGTGTTTGTGTGTGTGGTGGTGGCGATGGTGTGTATGTGTGGTGTGTGTGTGTGTGGTGGTGATGGTGTGTGTGGGGTGTGTGTGGTGGTGATTGTGTGTGTGTTGTGTATGTGTGGTGTGTGTATGTGTGGTGTGTGTGTGTGGTGGTGGTGATGGTGTGTGGGGGTGGTGGTGATGGTGTGTGTGTATGTGTGTGTGGTGGAAGGGGACAACTTTTAGGAGTCGTCAGTTCTCTCCTTCCAAGTAGGATTTAAGACTCTGGAATTGAACTCAGGTCTTCAGGAATGGTGGCAAGTGCTTTTACCTGCTGAGTTATCTTGCTATTGTTCCTTGCTTTGCACACACACACACACACACACCTTAAAATGTAGTATTCTTTCTTTCTCTTTCAGTTTTTCTCTTACTAAATGTACAGTCTCTCTCAAATAATAATAAAACGATTGTTGTCTCCAGCATTGACAGCCTTCACAGCAAATGTTAACTGTGTTGGAATTGTTCACTATTGACTGGGGAGAAAGACTTCAATCTGACTCTAGAGTGACAACTCTTCTGCCTCCTGAGGCTTTCCCTTCTAGCCGCCTCAGGAATCACAGGTAGGGTCACGTGTCAATAATGTGTCAATAATTCCAGCACTTGTGATAAGGGGATCAAGGTCACCTGGGCTTGGAAGACCCGTCAGGAAGGGGAGCAGGGAGGGGAAAAGAGAGGAAGAGAGAGGCACAAAAGAGGTCCAACAGTCTGAGGCAACGAGAAAGAATTCTCAAATGGTCCCTGCTAGCTTTGAAGATGGAGGGTAGTGAACCAGGAGCCTCAGAATCCAGAGACTTCTAGAAACTGGGAAAGGAACCAAAAGAGATGCTTCCCAAAGAAGAAACACAGCCCTTTCTACACCTTGATTTTAGCCCAGTGCTGAGTTGATTTAAATCGCCAAGCTCATGATAATTAATTTCAGCGGGCATAAAAAATGAACACAATAACATTTTCAGTACTTTCTCTGCCAGTACCAAGGGCTAGATTGCCGGGCATGGTGGCACATACCTGCAACACCAGCACCTGGGAGATGGAGACAAGGGGATCTGGAGTTCAAATTCAGCCTAAGCTATACGAAACCCCAGCATTGTACAGGTGACAGTCATCCAAACTGGGAGAGATACATACTATCACTTAAATAGCCACAAGTTTTTAAGGTAAATTATCAGACTGCTGCTTGTTGGAGGAGACAACCAGGGCCCCAACTGAGAAACTCAGTAACTGAGCACTGAAATGGAAAAAGCAAGGAAAGAAGATGGTTTCGGGAAGTCGTGACTGTGAGGGTGTGCTGAGTAAGGCTATGGACGCTGCCAGAAACGCTAAGCATTTTCCCCCGTGTCATTATTTCTCAACTGAATTCTGAGCAGGACCATAGTGTTTCTCAACAGAAACTTGCATGATCAACTACATTGAGAACTACACACTGACTCCTCCCATCTTAGAGATTCCCTCAGCTCGTGGGCATTTAAAAAAATAAACACACATATTTATGCAACGCAGTTCTCATATTCACCAGACCACAGGAAAAAAAAAATTCCCATGGACTAGTTAGCAGCCTTTTAAGTACTCTGCAAAGTGCAAAACAGATCATTGGACAGAGCAGAGATTAGAGTCAACTTAGGTCCTCTGAAAGAGCAGCATGTGTTCTCAACCACTGAGCTATCTCTCTACCTCTGGGACTTTATTTGTGTTTATTGCTGGTGGTGGTGGTGGTGTGTGCGCGCACGTGTGTGTGTGTGTGTGTGTGTGTGTGTGTGTGTGTGTTCTTGTTTGAGACAAGGTCTCTCTGTGTAGCCCTGGCTATGAAACTTTATTCTTAAAGTGACCAATACAGAAGTATAGACTAAAGTCTTAACGCCTTCCTCCACTATTTCAGTTCTTCTCCAGACCCCAGAGATAACTAATTATTTCTATTCTTTTCCTCACTTTGAGTCTTTCCGTATAAATTCAGACAGGTTTAACTAATTATCTGAATCCCTTAACGAAGATGTAAAATAGCTTGTCTAAGCATTCCTACTCGCTCACTTGTAGGCAGGACAAGCGAGATACTGAAGGCTTATTGAACTAAAGCTTGTTTATTTTCTTATACAAGCTCTCACATAACCCAGACTAGTCTTGAACTCACAATATAGTGAGTCAGGATGACCGTAAACTCCTGATCCTCCAATAGGTTGCTGTATGTGGCACTGGGGATCAAACCAGGAACTTTGTACATATAGACAAGCATGTTACAAATTGAGCTACATCCCCAGACCCTAAAACCTGTTTCTAATCCATTTCCCCCCTTTTTAATCTCCCTACAGAGTCTGGAAAAAAGCAATTGTTTGTTTTCCCAACTACTCTGTTAATAGCGGCCACATGGAACAGTTTTAATTACTTGAAGGCTGAAGCCTAAGGCATCTGGAAAGGGTTTTATTGATAAGAGAGGTGGGGGCTGCCTGCCCCTTGACCCTGTCTCTACAGATATAGCAGCTCCCTTCCCCCAAGAGGATTAAATCAAACATGATGCCATCATTGGGCTATGAAGTAGCTACTTGCTGAATCCTAACAATATTTTTCATCTATGTCCAGCTAACAGTCTGCCACACTG